CTAAAGTCACGTATTGTCTTGAGCCCAACTCGGATTGGCGGAAGATATATTACCTGTGATTGGGATATATCGGAAAGCTTCAAAATCACCTTGTCAAGATACTTGTTTCTAGACGAAATCCTCATGGAATGCAGGCGAAAGCTTGTGCTATGCCAGCATGTGGCTTTGCAGGTCTTCGATCGTACTCATGGCTACCATAGAGGTAACAATGGTGGGTGCCGGCACAATTTCCTGGATGCATATACAGGCACCCAGTTATAGTTCGAAGCACACAAAATACAAGGACTCTGGATTTATTATTACAGGAAGCGGTTGTCCTATGTTAACAAACGGTTGTTGGCACTTCGGCTGGGTGTGCAGGCTTTTACTGTGGTCATGGATTGTACTTGAGAGCAATTGGAAGTGATTTCGGGCAGTTCATAGGCGATGTATTAGTGTGTATAAGAGACGACAACTTAGGGTGTTCAGATATACAAATAGATATGGTCTTATTATTGATATGTTGGATATTTAAATGCAATGACATATAGTAAACTCAAAAGAAATACGAAGGCAGAGCAAGGAAGAATATTAAGCAGGAAAAGAGGCAAAAACAAATAAAAAAGGATAAACCGACTGTGAAATTCACTATCACGATAATCACCGAATAGTTGAAAACCGGCCAGGAAACGGAAAAAAAAGATGTTGACGAGAGTGGGATTTGAACCCACGCCCCTTTCGAGACTGGAACCTTACTCCAGCTGAGAGATTATTAGTGAATGTTTGAGAAGACATGAGATTAACAGTGGTACTAACCGCCTTAGACCGCTCGGCCATCTCGCCTATTGGTTGCAGGGTTGATTGGTTTATGGTCTATTCAATGAAAAGCCATACAATCCATACATACAATGCCCTCGCTTTATAGACAGAGAAAATTTAATGCACTTTGTTACATTAGTTTTCGAGTTTTAATTGCTATTTGTCTTTGTTTCATTTCGTTTCGTTTCATCATGTTTTATCACCTTGTACCTTGTTTCATTTGGCCTTAGAGCTTCTGAAGGCAAGTGGAGTGATGAAATTTAGAATTAGCGGAAGAGTTTAACTAGTCATTTGTCATGTAAGGCTGGCTGTCGGGTAATAGAACAGCCTGATATCGTGATTTTCACTGAGAAACCCAGGACGTTACGATCATCGAATCCATCGGGTTTCAGACCTCAAGGGTGATCAACGTTTCCCTTCCCCGCTATTGAGGGCGATGTGTAGGACGACATCTGTGGGACTAAAGGGTCAAATTAGCTCGGTGCACGAGTAATATGCGCCCAGGTAGTTAAGCTAGTCGGGCAATGCTGGGATTTCGTAGCTCCTAATCTTGTCTTGGTATAGTGACGTAGGATGGGCGCTTATTATAGCTGCACCATTTCCATGGAACCGTGACTCTGGAATTTGTGTCTGGACTCTGGGGTTGATGTTGGCCGCGACGATCGCGGCTGTCGGTCCTCCGATGAAATGCTCAGCAAGGAGTGAAAAGGACCATAGTCTCGGTAATTCGTATGTAACATCTATAGGGATCTGGAGTAAGGCGAAACGTGGAATGCGGCAGACCCAATGACCAGGCCGCGGCATCAGGTGATAAGGGCCCCGTGACTGAATATGACCTATCCCCTTCCAGGCTTGTTCATCATTTCCAGGGTCTTAGTGCTTCCCATACTCCAGAAGAAGGTTTTATTTTCCCGATATGTTTTGGTTGGGACCAGGATAGAGATGGAATAATGCAAGGACAAACGATATTCCGAGAGAGAGAGAGAGAGAGAGAGAGAGAGAAAACGCGGTGCTGATTTTCGTTTGTACGCCAGCTGGTCAACCAATCACTCGGTGGAGGAGCCATACATGGGCGTCCATGTAACTCGTTCCAATTTAGGTCTGACAAGACCCTCGGACAGATGTGGCTTGAGGTCTTTCATGATCCTTTAAGAGGACGTGGATCACCAATGACACCTAGGAACTGAACGGTGAGTCGGTCATTTGACAGCAAGGCCATCCCACACCCAGCCTTTGATGGATATCCGCTGTCTTTTGGTGCTTAGTTCGGCCCCATTTCGTGGACGGGGGCCTGAATAGTTATGTCTAGAATCTCGAGGGATCCAATAAAGAGCAATGATCGTGTCAACTAAATACTACTAGTAGTAGTGCGGTGGCAAAGAATAAACCAATTGTCGCATTAACATTTGAGTACATCTCACAATCATGACCTAATAGTCTCCAGGACTTTACCCGATGTGGACCAAAACTACCTACTAGAAATGCGGTCCAGAAGTGTTTAGTCTACTTACGACTGACTGATTTTCCATGTACTGTACATCCCTCGCCCTGACCCTCGCTCGTTGAATTTGGTAAGTAAATACCTCTCTCAAATTCCCCAGCCCATGTGGACCGCCCTTTGTTCACCGTTTGCTCTTTAATCTCCTCCTGGACCAGTAGGAGCTCGTGGGAATGGCAGCTATCCAATGGTGCGATGATACGGCGGCAGCTTTCTCCCTCTCACTTTCTTTCCTTCCTGTTCTTCTCTTTATTGAACCCCTTTCGTTTCACTCACCATCCACTTTGGTCATCCTCTCACTCTACATACAGCATACGGTAAGACCCAACAGCGGGTAAGGCAACAAAGAGCCAGATCGTCGCTTGTTCTGCCTGCTTTAGTCCTCGTCTCGCCTTCCCCGAAACTACTGCATCTGCAGACTTCAATTGCGGCTGAAGAACGGTGTGAATATCTGGCCTGTCGAGTCGAGAGCTTGGCAAGGGAGGCTTGATTGCTTCATTACGCTGCGAGGAACTTCTGGGTTTTACTCGGCCTTTGACAACGTGCCCTTGCAGTGGCTTCCCCGGACTAGCCAACGGTTTTTTCCAATACGAGAGGGTATTCCACCTCTCATTTTTCCTCTTCTCTCTAGTAGTTATTGACCAAGTCTACCATTGGTTGTATCGCTCGCTTCCCCCTTCGTTGGTTGTGCTCTTTCCACACCCCTCAATTCACCGCCAGGCTTCTATCTGTGAATGCATTTCTGTTACCGCCATCACTCCTTGGACATTCTTCTCCCCAAAATGCAGCCACAACCTTCCCCCCTGACCATGTAGTTCCTGCGATACACTTTACTTGCTCCATACTTACCTCTCGCCAAGCTCACCCCCACCTTGCGCTCAAGATGGAGTCTCTCCCGAAAGGCTTGGTGTCGACAACGAGGAAAGTGCCGTCGGAGCTGGACGACAGGAATATCGTGGATACAGGCGATGTTAGGCGACTGTGGAAAGGTAGCCCATTCACCTCCGATGTAGCGATAAGCTGACTCAGATGTTTCAGTATACAACACTCACCCTTCGGTGCATGAAGGCGACATTGGATACAGACTGGAGAACTTCTTCTGGAGGATTTGGAGTAGCGATCGACTTCGCGGCTCGTTGGACGGATCCACGCTGGCCAACCTGTTTCAACAAATATCTGAGTCTAATCCAATATCGAGCTTTGCCCTTCAGCAGTTGAAGAAAGTGAGCAGACATAGCCCCGCGACACTAAACCAACCTTGCTATGGTATAGACAGGAGCTAATTTCGCCATCCAGGAAAGAGCGTCTCCTGCTGAAAGAGGAAGCAACGATAAACTGCAAGGGACGCCGGGTAATAGCGCCAGGAGAGCACCTTTACAGCCCATCTTGAAAAAATCAAGTGCGCCCTCGGGGGACACACATAAAACAACTCGGTTGCTCCTTACCGGTCTAGAAGGCCAGAGCATTACGCGCAAACCATCCAACCCCCCAACTCCCGTTCCACAATCACAACCTATGATGGGAGATTTTGATCGACCAGTTCTGAAGCCTAAGACCGTTTTTGTAAAAGGGAAGAATACCAAGCGTCGACCGGTGATCATGCGACGCAAATCATCACAAACATCTTCCGGTACCAGTACCTGTACCCAAAGCCCACACCGGACTTCGAAACTACTGACCCTGGGAGCTCGGACAACGCCATCCAAACAGGAAGAATCTAGTGATTCTGAGGCTGAGGCAGTGCATATAGAGCGTAAGTCGCCGTTTCAGGGCGCTAGGAATTATCTTCTAGGGAAGCCCCCCTTCAACTTCTAACTGCTCTATAGATGTTGCACCTCGTGAGAAAAGCAGTGATACGACCGACAAGCCACCCGAGTTGCCACCAGAGTTTCTACTCAACCTAAAAGAAATCCTCGCCAATAAAGGACCAGACCCACAGGGTGTCAAACCGACTTCCCCCAAATGGGGCTTTGTTACCACGGACGATTGGACCCACTACGATGTAAGATATCTATCGGCGGAGAACTATGAACAGCCGTCGTCAGAATCGCTGGTTGATAAGGGCTTTCGTTCCCGCTTCACGGAGCAAGTTGGCTTGGAAAAAGAGTACCTGGCCAAGTCCGTGGGAGCCAGCTCGAAAGACGGACTACTGCAGTTTCTTCAGTCTAGATCTTTTGAATTCAAGGCCAGTGATGCATCTCGTGCCCAGCCGGAATCGACTGTAGATACACCCGCCATGAGCTCCGGCATCCCAATCCCGACACCAAACACTGATAGCTCTACAACATTCTCTACTAACAGCCTTGGCCGTGCGACATTTGGAGGCTTCCCAACTCTATTGACACCCTTTTCACTGACGCGTGGACGCAGCCAGCTTAGTCTGCTCATTGAAGAGCACCAAAAAAGCAACCGGCAGAAAGTGATCCAATGGGTAGTGACGAACAACAGTGACATAATGCGGACACCTGGATAGCAGCTGTCGCCTTGGACGAGGACACTGGGTACCAGGGATTTTGAGGACCAAGACGTAGCTTGGGGCTAATAAGAGATTCAGGGTCTATGATATATGTATTAACGAAGTCCAAGAGCAAGTAGAATACACGGCAATGATCACTTTCGCGCCCAACCACCTCATCTATACAAACCACATCCCATGAGACCAGCTCACCTCCCACATAGAACCCAAGAAAAAAAGACCCCATCATTAAGCAGGAGCAACCTCCTTCTCCCCAGTCTCCAGGTCGCCACCAGGCCCCCGTCCACCCCGTAGCCTCCACCATCTCAGTCCCTCGATAACCATACCCCCAACCCAAAACACCAAGTTCACCAAATCCACCCAAACAGCATGCCTCATCCTCTTCGTCTTCTCCACCTCCTCCTCCGTCCCCTCCCCATAAACCCCAATATACAACCCCCCAAACACCCCAAAGACCACCAACCACAGAACCACCAACACAAACCCCCACCCAAGCCTCCCCAACGAACCCACCATCTTCCTCTCCCGCCCCAGCTTATCCAACTTCATCATCGCAACCCCATATCCCAGATACACCAGCCCAGTCCCCGCCCCCAGAGCCCCAGTAACGAGCGCATACACCCACTTTGCATTCTGCGGATCTCCGTTCTTATGCGCCGCGCGCACGTCCCGGCCGTACAGGCCCACGACGGTGAGCCCGAAGACGAGCTGCAGGAAGTGTAGGAGGAGCTGGCTGTGAGCTTTGAGGCGGGTCTGAGGGGCGCCGGCGGTGGGGGTGGTGGGGTGCTGCTGAGGTTGATTGAGTTGAGGTTGAGGGAGTCGTCATTGCCATTTTTGTTTTTGTGGGTTTTGTAAGCTTTGTTGCCGATTTTGAAGGCTTTGAAGAGGAGCATCCACCACATTTTTTTTGAGGTTCTTTGGGGTTCTTTTGTAGGTGGTGCTGGGTGTGTTGGATTAGATGTGGCTCTGGCTTGTATAGGAGACTGCAGAGAACCCCAAAAGATGAATAGATAGATAGATAGGTAGGTAGGTAGGCAAATAACCAAAAGCAGAAGGAGAATTCCAAATTAAGACCGAAGAATTAAGAAAAAAACACCCCAGTTCTCAAGGTCGAGAAGGAAGCGATCCAGCGCAGAAATATCAATTAAGACCCAACAATGGGGGTGTCTATTCGGGAGGATATAATAGAGAGAAGGCGTTTGCCGAACGAGAGGATTAAAAGAACTTTTTTCTCAATGAAGAAAATCCCGGACAAAGGAAAGGCGAAACTGATTGATTGATTGATTTTAAATGAGGGATTGAAGGGTGGGTTTGTGATTGTCTATCTCGATGATGGGAGTCGACTTACGCCCTTATATATGTCGTCGTTGTTATCAATGAATGGGTATATGGCTTTCGGGGTGTTTTGTCTTCATTTGCTTTATCTGTGTCCTGGCCTGTCGTTTGAGTGTTACTATATTAAGTATCTTCTGCTCTTTTTTTTTGTCCCCCTTAGAGTGGTTTGCGCCGTTCCTGTCCATTCATTTGGGGGTTTGTATCCTCTGTTGAAACATGGAGATTTTGTTATGGAGTCGTTGCAGAGGTTGCGCGCGCTTAGTGATGTTGCTTTTGTTTTGGATGTGTTGGTTAGCTTGAGGTAGACTAGGGTTGTACATCCTCGGTAGGCGCTGAAGAATTGATAATGGTTGGGATTGGGTGGTGATTGGGGAAGCGCTGGGGTGGATCGTCATCAATGGTCTAAATTTGGCACTGCAGAAGATGCTTGCGAAAACGGACATCGTTGATTGGAGGATAATGCTAGTCATGATTAACCATACATACATACATACGTCCATTTCTCAATCGCTGAGCAATGTCAATCCATCCATAATAACCTGTGCTCCTGCCAAGACGAAGGACACATCCCAACAATCCATTGTTCCTCCCTATGGCCGTCATACATAACAAAAAAATAATTCGATACCGAATACCAGCCTGGTCTACAACCAGTAGCCAGGAAATCCGTGCATTATACTGCCGACGTCATGCTCATCAATATCTCTGAGTGGGGATTCATTATGCAACCATTTGCTGAAAAAGAAGAATGATGAAAGGCTAAGATGCGACCATGCAAAAACCAAGACTAACAATAACGCAAAGATGACAAAGAAAACGAAGAAGCACGGCCTCAAGGGTGAAACATCACTCCACACGAGTGGGCCGTGCATTTAGTTGTCAGGGTGGTCGAGTCGTCCCCCCGTCTGTCGCAGTTTTAGCGCCGGCTGTGGCCGAGGTCTGATTCCCCGGCGGTAGCGGAGTCTTGAAGCACGTCGGGGGTGCAGGCGGCGCCGGGGGTGGTGCAGACACTGATTCCTCGTCGTCTTCATTTGCTATATAGTCATCGTCATGCAGTCCTGCCCCACCCATGGAGGAATGATCGACAGACGCCCGGTCATATCCCTGATCATATGCCGCTGGTTGAGCCGCCGCATTCTTCGTCACACTCTTCGTCGCCTTCTTGTTCTTCCGACCTTTCATCTTCGCTTTCTCCAGTAGTCTCTTCTTCTCTGCCAATCGCTTCCGCTCCTTGCGATCCTTGATCTCGTACTGCCGAATAAGAGCCTCTGGGGGACGACCAAAGATACTCTCATATTCGCAGAACTCACAAATCCAGAGGTCTTCCATGTTCGGTGGGTGATGAAGGTTAGCGTACTGCTGCTGGATCTTGCGCTGGCGTGCAGCCAAGGCGTAAATACTCCCAGGTGACCGCTTCTTCTTTTTACCTGTGGTTGTCGGATCTGCCCCTGGAGCTCGGTGTGACGATTGTCCTTGCTGATCCATCTGGGAAACGGCGTTGGGGCTGGTCTGCGTTCCTTGTGTAGAGAACCCTCTCTGGTTCTGTGCAGCGGGGGGTAGGGAATTGGGTGAACGATGTGTGGGGTACGGGCTCTGCGCTTGTAGCGCCATACCCTTCGATGAGTCGGATTCACATGTGAAGGTAAACTGGGTTTTCGTGGGGGTGGTAGTTTGCTGCTCCAACATGCTAACATTTCCCGATCCTCGAGGAGGCGAGGAGAATGCCGAGGCTGCAGCATTGGCTATAGCAGCAGAAATGATTCCTTGGTCGGATTTTGCAGCGGAGTCAACTGCAATGGGATGTGAGAAAAGTCCCCTAGGAGAGAAAGATGTGCAGATTCGCAATTCTACGTACCTGGCGAAGACAGAACCCCGTCGCGGCGAGCTGACGTCCGAGCTTGTGGCCAACTAACCTGAGTATGGAGAGACAATGAAGCCCTGCCCATGCTGCTACGAGCGCCTTGACGCCCAAGACGCCCTCTCCCCGCACCGGAAAGACCATTGGACACAGGGGATGCAGGACTTCCAGTGCCATAGAAAGTACTCACATGACTCCCTTCCCCAGATGTAGGTGCCGAGCTCGCGAGACCCATGCTAGAGAATTCAGGTGAGAGCGTGGAGTGGTGACCCGCTAGAGTTCCCGGTGTGGGGATCTTGCGTTTCTTCTTATTGTTAGTGTTCTCAAAGGCATCGTAGCCGTTGGGACCTGCCGAGGATGACTTGATTTGCGTCCGTGGTCCGTTACCCGGGTGCCCTGGTGGCATCGTCGGGGACGAGGACGATTCACGAAAGCCAGCACTGCGGCGCACAACCGCCGGGCCATCGTCGTCGCCGCTCTCCGCGTCAAAACCGTTCTCATAAGGGTGGTGGTGGTCGCGCTCAGGGGTCTGCTCAGGGCCGTCACACTGCTGTACGTACACCTTAGACTCATTCACAGCCTCTCCATTATCTGTACACGTTCCGTAAAACAGCTGCGTCGCTGGGGGAGCCGGGGGGTAGAGGATGGACTCGGCCGCCTCGGAAGACAGCCGAGAGCGGAGAGTACGCTTGGGAAGGGGACGGATCAGCCTATCCGGATAGACAGGCGACGGAGTATCTGGGGCTGTGTTATACATCCCATCTGCGGGCGACAGTATCAGCAACTGAACAACCAGCAGATCCTCTCTAGGGAGCTTGTCATCCAGCCCTGGGACAATCTCCTGAAATGACACATATCCAGGCCAGATGATATCCCCCAGAGGAGTAGGTATCCTTGGTGAAAGGACATACTCAGCGTAGCAGTCATTATGCCAGTGTCTTCGTCTCTTTGAACCTCCACAACCACAGCCACACGGGCTTTTGTCTCCTGACACTCCAGTTTGCCGATGATGAATACGACCAAGTCTCCCCCGCTTCTTTCACTCTATGCTCTTTTTTTCTTCTTCCTTTTTTTGGGGATGTAGTAGTTGATAGGATCCTTGTCTTTGAAATTATCTAGAGTGATATTCTTTGTGGCCAGACCTGATATGGTGAGGGTGGAAAGAAAGGACGAATACGGAGATGATCCTAAGCCCCAATACCCACTGTCAGTTGTCATGTTCTCAAATACTGCCAACCGAACCACAACTCGAGACTAAGTTCGGAGACACAGTGCCTAATTTCTCCCAGGTTCCCACCGGTCTCAAACACCAACGACAATCTAGAAAAGCAGAAGAAACTCACCAAGGGAACTATTTACCGACACCGCCGATGCAGACTTTTTGGTAGCCCAAGTTGTCGGTAAGGAAGGACCCCGGCACAAACCCCGACCGTCACCTCAACAGAAAGGAAAGGGAATGACAAAAAAATAAATAAGAAGAAATGACTGGCCAATCCAAACAATCGGAGAAGGGGGAACGGAAACGGGGAACGAGGGGGAAGTATAGGGGAGGAAGAAGGCGGAGGGGTGTGGAATCGTTTCGTCGTTAATAATAATAACTAATGTTCATCTGGAGCTGCGGACTAGTTAGCGTCTGTGCCTCAGGCCAGAACAGGCCGCTAATCCCGGTTGGGTTGGGGATATCATCCGGCATGTCGGCTGTCAATCCAATATCCACTCATGTCACAGGAGACAATACCCGTCTCATGGAGTTCTCTTTTCTCTTCCTAGTAAGACCACAATGGGATTAAGACATAGATCATAAATTCTAACTCCATAACTAGTGTTACTTTGACACTGGTCTGTCAGCCGATCTCCCCGTTGACACTCCCAAGGTCTATTCTACTATCACCCCTTGTTATCTAACTCTCACATAGCTGCAAGGAATTGGCCCGCTCCTTCCGTATCATCCACCACATAGTCTTACAAGTATGTACCATAGCCTCTGCAAGTTTGGAGTTTCTTGTGTGGTCCAAGTTAACGCTCCCACGAGGATTGGGTTGTTGGAAGGTACACACATGTTAACCATAAGCTCCATGCGTGCTCGAGGCTTGGTATTCCAGTTGACGGGGTGGGCTTACAGCTGGCCTTACACACATTGAGATCAAGATACCAGTACCAATATTTTCCCACAGTTCACGCATGTTTGGTCTGGCTCACGTCCATTGACATCCTCGGCGAGATTGCTCTCACTTGCTACCCAGAGATAAGTAACGAGAAAAAAGTTCGTAAAAAATGAACGGTTGTATCAGCTGCATCCCGGGAGATGTGCTTATCCAGTCTCACAGATAGTGTTGCACCTATTTGTTGATGAGTTGTGAAATTCGTGGAAATTCATGGGACTTGGACTGCGCTCTGAAGGGGATGACATCTTGGGCTCGTGTCAAGCTAAGGAGGTACCGAAGATTTTCGCAGGGTAAGGCTTTGAAGTAGGGTAATTTGCAAACATTTGTTAGCTGTAGCCGAATGCGACAGAAAACTCGTTCCGTAGCATAATAATAGGAAGGAGACGGGAGGGAAGGAATGTAGAGAGTCGATCACAGGATGACGATGTTATCAGCGCGGGGTTTTGGAATTGGACGGAGATAATTCCATCATCAGCGCGGGAACGCATTCAGCACCCATACCACAAATGGCAGTGGATTTAGAAGGTTAGATATAGAAGGAGACAAGATATCTAGAATATGCAAACTACCATGTTAGTGATTAGAAGGGAAAAGGAAAATCGCCGGGGCCCTCCTTGGATTAAAGGGAAATTTTGGTGAAATGGGCTCGTGGGTGTCGCGTCGAAAGTTCACATCGCGAGGAAGAGCGAAAGCGGGGAAGAAGGCGGACCGGACGGCAGCCAATGAGGTCTCAGGCATGGCAAGCAATCCGTAGCCCGTAACCGTTCCCGTCACTCACGCAGTCTTGCTCGCTTTCCGCTTCTCTCGCTCTCCTCACTCGATTTCTCTCGCTCGCTCGCTTTTCTCACAAAAAGCTTCCCCCCACCCTTCAGACTATGTAGTCCTCGGCTTTGGTGCGAGCTCGCTGTCGCTGCTTTTGGATCTTCTCATCCTTTTGTCTCAATTGCCAGCTCCTATTTCCTTCTCTCACGCACTTCTGCTTTTCCTCTGCATCATTTTTTCATTCTTGTCCGAGTCGCTTTCAACTCCCAGCTCTCCATTCGCGTGCGACAGCTTGCCCACGGGCAGCGTCTGCTCGACATCGCCCTCTGCCGACTCACTATAGCTATACCATCGTGCATCTTTGCATTTCCCACGGCTATTATACTGTCAGATTAGAATTTCTTATCCTTATCCCACCTTATATACCCGCCACCTTCCACAATGACTCCTCGTCGCTCCTCTCGTGCCCGTACCTCCCAACCCTCGCCCGCCATTCTTCAACACACGAATTCCTCGAGCTCTTCCGCCTCATTGACTCGTGAGAGAAGTACTCGTTCCAACGCTAAGAATCCGTCCCCTCAGGGGTCATCGGGCCACCGCTCCCAATCCATCGACGATGCCGACGCCTCCAAACTTGACTTCCCACAAACAAGGCAGCGTCAGCGTGCCCGGGGAGACGAAGAAATAGATAAGATTGCTGAAGTGGAGGAAGAGGAGGGAGAAGAAGATGAAGAAGAGGAGGAAATAACCAGGTGCCTCTGTGGCCAACAGGAATACCCTGGCCTGCCCCCTTCTCGTCGGGACCTCCTCGGTCGCAATGGTTTGCACGGGAGAGTTAGAGATGACCCCATCTTGAACTTCTCTGCGGACTCGTCAGACTTACTGTCTGATGATATCGGAAGTATGTTCATTCAGTGTGATCAATGTAAGGTTTGGCAGCATGGTGGCTGTGTCGGAATCATGGACGAGGCCATGAGCCCCGATGAATATTTCTGTGAAGAATGCCGCAAAGATCTTCACAGAATTAAGAACGAGTCAAATGGGTATGTCCACCACCGTTATTTGAGTTTTTACATCCATCACTTGAATATATTTTTTCCTCCTTACCCCCGAAGCCGGCTCTTCACCTGTGGGGAGGTACCATTGGTATCATTTCCGGTTGAATGTTCCACTGGAACTTTTCGATTGTCTTCGTTCATTCGATGTTTCCTACGTCTCGTTTTTTTTTGAAAACGCCATCGAGCATCCCATCGTTAGGATTGTGACACTCGCTTACCATCTGGCAGGCAATACTCGTCTCAGTATCTTCCAGTCGCCCCGCCCTCCCCTGCTTCTTCCTCCCGAGACTCATCCCGCGATAATTCTAAGCGGGCGAAAGATTCCAAATCTCGACAAAATGATCCAGGTAATCCTAAGCGTCGGTCGACGATGAACAGTCGCGACGCTGCTTACGACGAAGAAGAGCAGATTCGTCGTGCAATCGAGGAAAGCAAGGAAGAAACCAAGCCAGCTTCAGAAGAGATTGCAGCTCGGAGAGGAAAAAGAAGCCGAAGTGATAGTGAAGCGTAAGTAAATATGGGATGGAGTGGGGTAGCTCCGCCTGGATAAATGACGATTGAGAATCAATTGCTAACGGAGACGCATTCCAGTCACAAACAAGCGGCGAAGCGACAACGCACAAGCTCACCGTCGCCCGGTGCTGTTTCGAATAAACAAAGCAATTCGGTATCCCAGCCCGCATCAGAAGACGAAAAGGTCAAGGCTGCCACAAACGGGACTCGAAGACAGAGAGCTGCATCCCGAAGCCAGCATAATAAGGAAACCAAAGATGCTGAGGAGCCTGAGGTCGAACAGCCAGAGGCGACAAACCGTAGAAAGGGAAGGTCAGATCGACGGAAAGGTGACGGTTAGTAGCGCTACAACTCTGTGACTTGTCGTGTGTGCGAGGCTAATATTTGTAAAGGAGCAGACTCGGATCACGAAGCGGTTTCGCCAACAAAAACAGTTGCGACTAATCCAGAACCACCACAACCGAGTCCGGAGGCAACAGCTCCTGCTCCGGAACCTGCACCTTCCCGTCCATCTACACGGAAGTCCGGTCGGCCGCCCACTCGTCGTGGTGGACGAGTGGGCCGCAATCAATATACTAGAGATCGTGATGTTAATGGCAATGGAGACTCAGGCTTCATGATGAATTCCCCACGGCGCGGACAGTCCCACGACACCAACGGAGATTCACCTAGAGTGGGTGGCGTCAATGGGACATATTTGAACGGCAGTGAGTCAGGGAAACCTAGCAGACCGCGATATGTGAATCAACGAACTACTATGAATGAAATGAAGAGACGCGTTGCCGCCATTCTGGAGTTCATCTCTCGAATGCAAGTGGAAATGGCTTCCGCCGGTGAGAGTACTACACCTCCCGGGATTAATAGTGACCGACTTAACGGCATCCTCATGAAGGCTGTGAGTGAACAGCTTGAGAATGCTATGGCGTCGACGGTCAGCGAAGCAGACTCTGGTACAGCTACCACCGATGGTGAAGCTGGAACCGTATCGACGGAAAAGGAATTCAAGGACTTAAGCAGTCTTGAGATGATGGACGTGCTCACACGGCACCTCCTCAAGTGGCAGCAAGAGTATGGGAAATTCGGCGAGAGGTGACAACAATTCTTGCTTCGGGTTCCTCTCTCTTTTCTCATGTGATCCAATTTTTTTCTTGGGCAAATATTTCCACCGGGGATGCTTTTTGATGCGTACGATACCCTGTTCGTCTCTCAACATGTGGATATGTATATTACGGATACTGGAGCAACAGTCTCAACTTGGACCGGTCGCGGCGTTACGTGCAACTTACGGCATTAGTACACTTCTCTGCTTAATATGATTTTTGCTTTGATCCTCTTAACGGGAAACGGCGTTACAGTCGCATTGACTTTGGATATTCTCCATACTGACTATCGATATTGGTTTCTTTCTCGGGTGCGGCGACGCCTTGCTTCTAGGACGTTACGCTCACCACACAGCCTGTTCGTTTCCTTTCATTCATGTTAACACCTTGTGCGGTGTTTTTCTCTTGGATTCATATCTTGACCGGAGTCTTTTCTCGCTTCACTACAGTACCGGGGTCTTGGTGTTGGTCGGTTGCATTCATCGCTTGGCTAGCTTGTGGTTTTTACCGGGTATCCCATCCGGACATTTCTCTTTCCCCCTGATGTCTCCCTGGACGCGTTGACGTGTTAAAGCTGAGATACTTGTAGCTCTTTTTTATGTTAAATATAAATTCTACGATACTGCCCATCTACTTGATCCAGAACACAGCCTTTATCATTTACCTAAAATCTAATCTACATACTCATATTAATATCACTAGCAACATCTCCTGCTGGACCTAATATTACACAGGCTAGGCCCTCCCACAGTGGTAAGGATCCCACAGAAGCCTCAAGAACAATTGCTTCCATGTAAAGAGACCAGTCGTTCGTAAGGATCTAAACCTTCAGGCATTTAACCAGAGGAATCGGCATTCTATGTCTGGTCTAATATGAACGAGGACATTAGATAGTTCGATCAAATAGATTTGCAAGCGCTTCGATAAATCTGGTTTCTATTGCTTTCGTTGAATGTTTTATAGCATTGCCAATTGATATTTTCCATTGCTTTGGGTGGGTGGGTGGACATCTAATTATATATTGCCTGGTTGGCAGGAGCGAATACAGAGAGGATCTGTGATTCAATAAGCTGAAGAAGACTAGTGATAATGGAACTTAAGAGGATAGTTTTACTTGTTAATACAAGCCGAAATTGTAATCTTAACATGAAAGTCTATGATCTTATGAGTTGATTTGCTGTCTCAATCAAGGTTGCTGATGTGCACTTAATACCTACAGATTGTGGCGATCATCTGACCACTGAATGCAAGAAAACTATTACGAGTGGGAGACGATCGATAATAACAAGCGTTGGCTATAGTTCATAGGGGTTATATGCATCGAGCACAACTACAATAGAGCAAGGAATGCAGAAGACAACTATGACCAAGGTAAGATTTACATCAATCAATTCCAGTAAATTACGTTGCTAGGTACAAAGGCCATCATACAAGTTGAAGCAAATTGAAATCGTTGCAAAAAAACAGGCCACTTCCATCCATAGTCATCCATTCGAAATACAACATTCAGGTCGTGATTGATCGTTCAGATAGATGACTGTGACGTCAGTACCCCTGACCCAAGCAAAGGGGAATTGCGGATAGACTAACCTTAACCAGGTACCGGCTAAACCAAAGCGGGCAAATGATTTACAGACGGGAAGCGTGGATAACCTTGTAGTCCACAACGAGCTCGCGGCCACCATCGTTAATGACCAGGGCACGGACACTGCCGCGGCCCTCCTCAAAGGCATCCTTGATGCGGCGGAAGAGGTTGCCCTGGGGCACAACGGGGATGTTCTGCTTGACATCACCGGTCTCAGTCATGGCGACGATCTCACCATCACGGAGGTCGAGGATGCGGTAGGTCTTGTAGACAGGTCCCAGCATGGTCTGGACGACAACCGAGGGGGAGGGGTTGGAAATGAAGCTGGACTCTTCCTGCAGTTGGCGGGTGAAGAGATCGACACCGAGGTAGCGGTGCTGGCCGGTCTGGGGCGACACGGAGATACGGATGACCTGGCAGGGACGGCCCTGGAGGATCAAGATGTCGCCGATGCGAATGAAGTGGCAGGGAATGGGCACGGAGTCGGCGTTCTTGCGGCCACCGCTACGGGGCTCAATGACACGGACGGACTGGTGGCCGCCTTCACGGGAAACTGGACCGCGATCGTCAGCAACGACGACATCTTGACGGTCATGGTGATGATGGTCACCATGATCACCATGATGATCACCATGATGATGGTGGTGATCATGGTGATGGAAAGGGTGCATGATGCGGTCGGCAGCGCGTTCCACACCACGACGGAAGGAGTGGTAGTTACCGTCGTCGTCGTAGTATCCCATCTTGCGAGCTGGGGGATGATCAACTACAGTAGTAGTGCTAGGAGCCTTGAACTGAGAAGGAGGGTTGACTGGCTCGACAGGGAGTTGACGCTGGCTGAAAGAAGAGCCGGCGTAGGTGTCGAGAGCGGGAGCTTGATAAGCCTGGTCGTACGAGACGTTGAGCTTGGGGTGGGTAGGAGTACGGTCGTACGAGGCGGGTTGACGGTTCTCGTAGGACTCTACACTTGAGTGCTGATAGCTAGCGTTGGCGTTGTATACGTCGTAGGTCGGTTGGTTGACACGACGACGATATTCACGCTCAGTGATGTCTAGCTGGTTGGAAAGTTCCTGATCGTAAACCTTAGGGGGCTCTTGGAAGCGGACCGAGGTAGGTTCACGATAGCTAAAGGCAAGTGAAGTTAGACCAAGACACAAAGAAGGAGGTTGGGAGACGAGGTGATTGGGTGATTATATTGGGGACGAGAGGCTGGGGGCGGGCAAGTGTTTTGAAAAAGAATATGATCTGTGCCATGATTTGGTTTGTTTTGTTTTGGTGCCACGTAATTAGTTTTAGGGACTAATGGCCTTAGCCCCCGACCAGCTGAAGCCACCATTGATGTTGTGACACCGCTTGTTGACTCTCTCCACTTGGTGTGGATAAACCCCGGTCCCCACCTGTAAGGGTACCAAAAAAACAAAACAAAACAAAAACAAAACGGAGAAATACACCGAAGCCGAGGGTAATCGGGGAAGAAAGACTGGGACAAAAATACAAGCGAGCCGATTGCAAGCGAACTGGCCCGGTTCTTCCATATGATATCAGAAAAAACCGGGGGCAATTGCAACTTGCCATCAGAAAATCAATAGTTCATAGAGATCGGAGCTCCATGAGTGAGCCCCAGATGCAAAATAACCGATAAACATACCGTTCACGCGCGAGATCGACCTCGGGATATGGCCTTTGCTGCTGCTGCTGCTGGAAGCGGTCTTCGGTGTAAACCGAGTATTGGTCAGGCTGGGGGGCAGGGGGCGGGACAGGATGAGAGTCGCGCTGGACGTGTAGATCGATCTCTTCCTTTCCGTAGATACGGGGATCTGGGAGAGGAGCAGAGGTTCGAGTATCTTCCCGTTCGACGTGCGAAGGACGATCGAGATTGACTTCTCCCTCTACTCTTTCAGGTGCAAGAGTAGGCTCAGGAACAGCGTCACTCCGGTACGACGACGGGAAGACACTGAAGGGGATGGGAACACGAGCGTCAAAGTCCAGATTGGCTGTCCTTTGGCGGTCTTTTCTCGAATGCCTTTCGAACTGATACGAACGAAAGGCTAGACAAGAAAAGACTCTTTAGGGGGTAGTCTTTCTCGTGGGGAAAGGGAAGTGGAGGTGAACGAGGCGATTATAGATCCGATGGATAGATCTATAAAAGTATAAAAGCGGAGACGAATTCCTGATGAGAGGAATGCGAGATAAGCTTAAGGGTTGAGGAATGTTGAGGAGGGGAGGAGAAGTTGAGAGGATAAGTATGGATAGAAAAGAAGAGGAGGAGAGGCAGGGAAAGGCATCAGCTGAAATAATAACACCATTTCCCAAGTATTCTCATTACGATCGGTTTGGTTGTTGTTGACAACACGCGTTTGTTTACGGCGCTTTCCCCGATTTGGGGGGAGGGGACCAACCTCTCCCTCTTCAAAGTTCATCATCGGCTCACAATCTTATCAATTCAATTGTTTCTATCTCTGAAAATTTGGTTCATCCTCCCTTTCTCCCGAGGTCCATTCCACCCTCCAGTTTAGGCAGCTAATACATCCACAATACATCCATCCAAGTCATTGTCTAATGACATGTTTCGTATCAAGCACACCCCCGAGGGCAAAAGCAGTAAAGAAGCAGTAAGGTTCCGGCTATATATATCCAACCTCATCCACTTTCTCTTTTCCCTCTTCAGTTAATCCAATCGGTGTTCACCGCTATCGACGAGCTTCATGGTTGCTGATTTGTTTCCCTGTGAGAGCTAAGACTCTTCACATGCACTTCGCCAATTATAGTTCAGGAGCCTTTGAAATCCTGGGCTGATACGTGGTTTAGTGCGCATCAATTAATTTTTCGCTGGCTGAATCGAGGCTTTCCCGAATCACCTTGACCAGCGCCCACTTTAAAATCTCCATGGCAACCTTCGCTTCTTCCGGGGCGAATCGGGCATCTGGATCCCTTGGCACGGAGCTCCAGGTGATCGACGCTGGTAGCCTATGGGTATCGGCTCAAGTTCATAATCTTTCGTCCTTCACGGGTTGAGATGTGATGTGATCGACTTTGTCGCTCACCTCAATTCCTCTGGTATGGAAGTCCGGGAGTCAATTATTGCAATGGGCTAGAGCGTATCAAAGCCGGTTCCGCCGTCGGCTTGTGCAGCTCCTTTCAACGACCTGCCTCCGTGGGACTGCATCATTGGAGTTGTACTGCTCCGCCCGCCGCCCGTGTTACCCTCGGCTCTGGGCTCCACTTAGACTGTGTCCGAGATCGATCGTGATTGCTCTGGATTTACGGCTGCTAGCCCGCGCGCCAGCCTCGCTTTTTCCCTTGAACCTAGTCTCTCCAACGGGCCCCGTGCATTGGCTTTTCTTTCTGGGAATATTTTGCCACAGCTGTCTGATGATTCATGAATTGCCAGCCACAGGTCTAGCCTTGTCCGCATCAAATGTAATTTCGGTGGCTGGCTATGTACCTCTGGTACCCATGTGGGGAGAGGTTCACCGTCCCATCGATCGGAGTGGAGAGCACCCGAAAATCTTACCGTAATCAAGTTCCCCGTAGTGATCAACTGATCCTTCCTCCACAAGTGATGGAGACTGATGTTCGGTATTGTTGATTCTCAGCTGAAGCCAGATACAGATGATCATAATACGGTGTACAGTCCGCTGCATCAGAACTAAAAGTTGCTAAGCCTCTCACTGCCGCGATTCCCCACATGTGGTTAACCGAAGTGAACCACGGTAGGTGATCCATCATCCCAAAGGAGGAAGAGAGACAGAATATACGTAAAAAGCCAACTAGAGTCAAGCTCTGTAGTACTTCGTTCCTTCTAGAACCGTGCAACGATGATCGTCTCTGAGCTAAGAAACTAGGCGGCTAACCTAACTATTGGAGATGTCGCTAGTTTGGAGACAGTAGGTACTGGAGGTACGTGGCTGCTCGCGGATCGCCCTTTTGAGTAGAGCTGATCCTTTCAAGCTGTATACGAAAAGGCTCTCCGAATTTGACCGCGGTGTGAGATACATCAGTTAGACCTATGATTGAACGGAAATACAGAGTAGTATCAAGCGTGCCTATAATGGGAGAACACTCTCCACATATGCTGGTTCAGAAGAGGCATAACGCCAGAATCAATTGATTCTTTCTTGCAGTGAATCCTCCTAACCCCTTGCTCCTTCAAATAAAACCCCATAGTGGCCAGATCATACTGGTGACTAGCGTGGTCGGCAGCGCCACCACCCTGTAGATGGACCTATACCAAAGCCAAAGAGATTTGTACCTGAAATGCCGGCGACAAACTTATGATGAATATATGCGGGGCCTGCATATTGGCAATCTCAATTGATTTTGCTCATTGCTCAGCCAGCCATTGCAGGCACTGCAGTCCAGGTTCTCGGGTCACCGGGGTGTTCAGCATGTCCGTATGCTTAACGCCCCGGCTTCTCAAATTATCAATGATACTTTCCAGAGCGTGTTCAGCTACCTCATTGCTATTAATTAGCCACAATCGAGGGGTTCTGCGGGCATTCGAATGGAAGGAGGCGACTCTCACGATTTTGTCTCTGTAAGAACATTTACGTGTTACTGGATCGCTTTGAGACGCCGAGGGCTTCTCAATTGCCTTCTACATGGTCCGCCTGTGTTTCCTAAAAACCAAGATGCTGCATCGCAGGGTGGTACAGGCTTGATGGCAAATGCTGCATATCAGATACATGGATTATACGGCCTCTTGCTTGGTCTGCCGAAGTCCGAAGAGTCCTTGACTTTGGCTATAGCCTTTGCCTCTGCGCCAGAAGAAAGGTCAACAAGCCATGCCCGCTACGTACTGGCCGCAGCATACTACTGTACAATCATGATAGGCTTCTCTAGAGTGGCAACAAAGGAATTATGCACATGGTCAAGTTTGAACCATGTCCATGATTCTACCTATATCAGCCGGCATGTCTCTATATCTAGTTAACAGCTGATTATAGTATCCTCCTTGACACCACTGTCCTCTTCTTAATAGCAAGTAAAAGACCCAGGGTCATCTTTGGGAATAATGCGAAGGAAAGCACCTTTAAGAAAGAACTCCGGATGGTATCATATAAAAGGACCTTAACCGACAGAGTGAGCTTGATACGCATGTATTAAACAGTTAAGTGTGCATCGTAATATACTCAGTTGGCTGTAAGACGACCAGTATAAACTGTCAACTTTTGCTTTTCGTGTTGAGACAGCAGCTAGTCTACCCAAGACGGGGCGTTGACTGAGGTAACTACGGAGGTAATCTCGACTCCTAGATAGTGGGATCACACGTTGAATTAATTTTTATATATATGTGCCTGGCGAATACATGACTCATCAGTTGTTATCTGAGATTTGTGCTCTATTCATGATTGATTATAAAGCGGCATATGCATTACAGCTCTGATTTAAGATGATACATATATATATATCCTGGTAGAAGAGTAGACTATAATTGGAAAATGAACTGACCACCTTCTGGTAACACGCAAGAATATTAAACCATCAATCCTCTATAACGCAAGGCGGATATGCGACTCCATCATCATTGTCTCTTACCGAAAGGAGGATTGTGATGTAAAGTGAGTATTCAATCGAATTAGAATTGAAGATGCCATTATCTCTCCCCTAGTCTTTCTATTCGCCCAATTGCTTCCGGCACCCGGCGAGCCACTAGAAAATGACTTCAATGGACCCGACAACAAAAGAGACAAAAGAGAAAAATCGCACACAAAAGTAATTAATTATAGATTAGCAACAATGGACCCAAAATGCCATTATACAAATGATACATAAATGTAAGGGATCACAAATGAAGTCAGATCAAATCAAAGGAATCATTCCTGGTATCTGACCGGCAAAGGCCTGCTAGCCAAGGAATATCATCTCCAACAGGGGTATCAAATAGCAGTATTAGAGTAGTATTGTGGTGTCGAGAAATCCCGGCCACTGAAAGGGTATATAGGTGAACCGTATCTCATTAGTCTTTGTTCCCTTATTCCACCAACTCCTTGTACCTGGAGCCCTCTAGCCAGAGACAGCAGGCAGATGTAATATAAATAAACAAACGAGGAAGAGTCATATATTAAAGCATATATTCCATAGATTTTGGAAGAAGTATAGGATGCATACTACAAAGCAGACCATGTCGTCTAGCTTCGTAGGCCAAACGCCTTCCGGAGTCGAGGAAATCGCTTCTTTCGACCGGAGGCGAATTCCACATCCATGGCATCCGTGGCATTGGTACCGGCTAGATCGGCTTTCTTGGTGCTAGCATCTACGGCGTTTGACACCGTATTGCCATTTTGAAAGGCTCCATCTGCCGTTTGGGGTCGCTCAGAAGAACGCAGAGCCGAGAGCGGAGCACCTGCGTCCGTCTCCTTGCGATTGGAGCGGAGGGGCCAACTATCGCCATTCGAAGATCTGGAGATTCCCCTCCTGAGCCGCCTGGGAGAGGAGGATGGCCTAATGTTGTTTGTGGTTATCGTTGTGACGGTGTTTCCCCGAGCACCATCAAGCATAAGGTTGTCCCGCACTTCTTCGGGATCTAGAGAACCGTTCCTGGCTTCCGAGCGAGATCGGGAAGCCCCGCGCTCTGACGGTGCTTTAGGTTTCCGGATGCTTAAACGATGAAATAGGCTGCCTTTGCGTCCGCTGGGTTGTCGGAGAAACTCCTCCATTTCTTCCTCGGACATCCCGCGAGACTTAGCCACCGCGGCAAGCGCAGGGTTTCGAGGAGCTCTGACGTCACTTCCTTTCGCCTTGGTAGCCCTAGAAATCAAGCCAGGCCGTTCATTATCAGAGCTATCCTCTAATTCTGTTGAGTCACCATCATGGGCGCCTTCCCGTCGTGGTATGCCGCGAACAGGACGAAGATTATCAACCACGCGTTCTTCATCGTCGCTTGAATCTTCAAACCTACTTTGCCATTTTTGTTGACTCGTTCCCTGCTCATCATCCGACTCCGTGAATCGTGACGTGAATAATGCTCCCGAAGCCTTTGTAATCCTGGCCTTCTGCACTTTTCCGGTAGAGAAGAAAGCAGGTTTCTCACGCCGAGGATCGTTCGATCGCAGAGTAGCACGCAGAGAACCGGTACCTGAACCGGATGAAAGAGGTCGGCTATTGGGGGGTGGCAATTTTGTGTTCTGAGGGGAATAAGTCCGGAAAGGGCTGCTCGAGGGGCCTCGCAGAGTCCGTCGTATCGTATGTGGAGAGTCTGTCCGGGGGCGATTAGATCTCTTGAAGCTGCTGGATGAATCACTGCCGTTTGATAGTGGCCTTTGAGGCTCGGGGCCATTCCCATTAACATATAGATCGTCATCAAGACCACCTTTTAGCAAGTTTGGGGCCCACGAAGCAGGTCGCTTCTTGATCTGTTCATCGCCAGCCCTGTGGCGCGGTTGATTGGAAACATTTCCAGACTGTGGTTGCAACGGGCCATGGACGACTGAATTAGTTGTTTCACGCGCAGGGCGACCTCCGGGAGCGTTTACTGAAATAGACCGTCTTACTGTACCCGTAGCCACAGAGGAGCGGGGGGCTTCTTGCACATTCGTCTCACTGTTGGACTGTGTGGGAAACGGCGGGTATGGAGACGAGTACGGAAGCCGTTCATGTGATGAGCTTGGGGATTCGGGAACCGGTGAGAGGGATATAGTGTGTATTGGATTTGCCACGCGAGCAATTTGACAGGTTTGCGGAATGTCAGCTAAGTTCGGAGGTACTTGGTCAGTACTGTGTGTGTTGTTATCCGTGGTCATATTAACTTCCACTGCATCTTTGCACTGGGTGGACGTAGGCTCATCAACCACAGCATTGATAGAACCAAAACCATCGCCCTCAAGTCCTTCCTCAGCGTCACTGTAGATACTCTCGCCAGATTCGTCCTCATCGCTTATATTTCCCCGAGTTGCATCAGTCACAGGGTTGCCTAGAGCTTGCTTCTTGCCTTTCCGCCTAGTAGAGTCGTGGCTTGTGCAATCAAACTCCAAAGACGACCGCGGAAATCCTCCCGGTACGGTATACCAGTCAAGGCTTGACCGCCCTCTCTCGCCTTCTGGGGTAGCTGGCTGAACCGCAATCCCAGGGACTGCCAAGTTTTCGCTGCTCTCCAGCTTCGCCTCTTGATGAGAGTTCAATGATACTGACGGAGCATCCTGTTTAGTTTGTGTCCCTTTTTTTGAAACACAACTATTTTCGCCTAGTTCCGACATGGGTGCTCCACTCTTAGCAGCCACTCCAGGGGTAGGTGATGTTGTTTGGTCGAGTTGTGCATTGGGGTTCGCGTCTCGTGACTGTGTGTTTGAGATGATAGCTCCAATGGCATGGTCGTTCGAGAAGGAGACTGGAGACACGGAAGGATCTGAGGAAGTTGTCGATTCATTATCACTCATATCTTGCCGGACAGGTTCTTGTAGCTCGCCATCCCTAGCCTTTCGTATGCTGCCAAACGAAGGGAGCTCAGGTCGAGGCTTGAATACTTCATCAAATTCATCCGACCCCACGGTAGCAGATTTCCTTTTACCCATTCCAAACCAACTTGTCTTCCCCTTGGGCTTCACTGGAGGCGACTCAAAACCAATATCTTCTGGGGAGGTTGGTGGACTCGCAGCCGCCCCAACAATTTCTGCCTCATCATCAAAGCTAACCTTGACAGGTTTTCTTCGGAACCCAAGCCTAGAACCCTCATCAGACCCCGCAGATGTCCCATCTGAGAGCTCGCTAAGAGCTGGGCCGGGCCGCAGCACTACCCCATTTCTTCCATCAGGGGATAGTGAGCATGTTCTCGGATTCTTCATTGCTGATTTGGCGGGAGAAACTGACCGGGGAGGGGGTTGGTGCAGATGTTCGCCAACAAAACCCATAACCGAGAGCCTATCAGAGAAGCGGGTCGATCTCCCCGGACTGCTGCTCGGCGGGCGAGCTTGCAACAGCTGGGATTCTCGTTCAGGACCGGTTGAGCTAGTAGACTCTGGCGAGCTGACAATAGAACTCGGTAAAATATCCTTTGGCTTTTCAGGTGTTGGCGTCCGGACTGTTGATCTGGTCTCGGGAAACGAATGATTGACCGGCGCATGTTTGACCCCTTCTGCCGGGGTGTCTGCTTCTGCACGTGCCTCCCCTGGGTAGTCCTCAGGAACGGTCGAAGGTCGTTTTGTTAGAACTGGACGTGGCGGCTGTTTATGATCTGTTTCCGAAATCTGCTGGCTGAACGCAGGATCACGAGACTGATGTTGGTCTGGCTGGTCGTGTACTGGCCGATTACCAGTCTCTCGAGCTGTAGGAGCTTTAGATGCCAGGTCTCTGGTGTTCTGCTCTCGAGGCGCAGCTAAGCGAGGAGGGGATGGGTGATATGCCGCTTCCTCGCTTCGGGTACGATTGCTGCTTGTGCTGCAAGGACCGCAGTGTCTACCGGCTGGACGCTTCTTCCGGGACTGCCCGAGAGAACCCCTCTTGTCTTCCTCCGCGCAGAAGTATTGGCAGTCTGCAGAGCAGATTTCTGAGTCTTCGGGGAACCCGGGGATGATAATTGGCTAGCTAGGGATGCACAAGCGGAAGTGTCCCGTCTGTCAAGGGGCTCAGAAGCCAAGGCCGGAGAGTTGGGCCGAGAGTTCATCGGGTAGGAGAAGTTGATCGAATTTCTACTTCCAGCTCTCTGGAGCTCTGGTATCTGGTCCAATTCGTGGCCGCGAGCTGATGGCTGGCTAACAGAGCCTCTGCCAGCCGGGTCAACGCTCATTCCTCGACCTGATGGCTGCCGCTTCACAGGTGACGTTGGTCGCAAGGTCGGCCCGACACTAACTGAGCGCCGATTTGGGGGCGTCCGGGTCGCATATTCCCGGGGGATCGAAGGGATGGGAGGAGCGATGGGAACTGGACCAGAGCTGGAAGCCGGGCGGCGAGGGGATTGATCCCGGAAGGTCCGGTTGCTCATAGAGCTCGAGCTATTGGCTCGGCGAAGGGTATTTTGGCTAGAAGGGCGCAGACTGCCAGGGATACTGGACTGGGAGGCGATGGAGGCGCGCCGCTGGATCATTCGCTTTGTCTGAACATTTTCCACTGGAGTCGGAGTGGGGGTGAGACTCCGCAAGGCAGCGGCAGCGGCGGCAGATGAAAGACTCGATGAGGACGGCTGAGACTTGAGGAAAGCATGGGAGGCGGCAGACTGGGCCGATTGCGCATTAGACGTCGAAAGGGGTTGCTAGAGATAGACATTAGTTATTAGTTGTTCATGGTGTTAGACTAGGTTGCCATACCTGATGATGCGACGTGCTCCTTCGTCTCCGGAACATTTTGGCGGTCCAAGACCAAATCCCCTAGAACGTGTCGCCGGTCAGGCAGACACGCAGGGCTAAGAGTAATTATTCCTGTCTCCCCGGCAAAAAGAATTGTTGGAGCCCTTTGAATAAAATGCGACTGTTTGGACGGGGTTCCGCGTTGTTGACTGGGAAGAGAGGGATGGAACACAAGGAAATAAAAACCGGCGAGTGGAAGAAGTTCGAGGGGTTCGCCAAGTAAGAGCTAAAACAAGGTTAAGAAAGGAAACCAATGCCCCATGGATTTGCTTTTAGTTAATCCGTGTCCAAGTAAAAATGATGAAGTCAGTGGTTGAAGGAAGAAGCACGAGTAACGAGTAAAGGGAGGCGGAGAGCAAAAAGAACAAAAGTCTGGAACTTGCGTCATGACGGTGGAGTTGCAAATCGGGCAATCAATACGAAACTAACGGATAAATATGGGTTTTAAGGTTGTGTTTTTTTTGGGCCCTGAGTAATTTTAGTTTTGTCTCCTACAGAAACCAACCGCAGGAACATGAACTTTTTTTTTTTATTAATGCTACATAATATTAATTAAACCGTATTAGCTCGAGGAAAACAAATTTAAACTCCCTGTAAGGGCTGATCTATTTCCCGAGAATAACGTGTTTATACATCATATCGGATTTTTGTGGAAGGGTATGAATTGGGGAATCCCCACTTCATGTGATAAATACCTACCAAAAAAAGAGTCTATTTGTAAATAATTCGGCGCTATTCGATTTCGCTAATAAGGAGAAATTCGCTACGAGATCACTTGGCGACTTGGACAAGAAATTATACAACCAGTACTACATTGCTCAAGAAATAAAACCCTACAAATGGAGTTACTTCCAGTCCTGAGTAGCGCCGATATCTGAAGCTCAGAAGACTCCATAAGAGGTCATTAGTCTCAATCTAAACCCTAGACAAGAAACTACGGTTAGCTTGCTGCAGATCATTGTCCAGCTGCAACGAGCTTCTAAATGAATTTGGATCGAAATTATTAGTATGACTTTCAATGTTTGGCATTCTTCCATTTCCAAGACTATCCTTGATGAGACTTGGTAAGACGGCTAATGGCTAACTAGTCCTTGGTATAGGATCCACGCTAGGGCTTAGGGCCATTGACGGCTGTATCAGAATACACAGAGGCGGCTTGATTCGAGGCCCTTAGCAACTAGGGGCGGAGATATCTTCAGTACGTGGCACTAGTGGTCCTTGGCCCGGTCTACACCACTCTCTCTTGGCTCGCAAACGAAGTGAAAAGCTTTACAAAAAGTAATGATAAGAGCGGAATTCACCCGCGAATCAATCGAAACTAGTGATTAGATAGTATCTAACCTGGAGGTTCCTATGATGGAGAAAGTAGGTGTTGTGGAGGGAGACGAACAACTAGCGCCATAACCACTCGGCCACCTTGCCAGGGCATAAAAGGGTGTGTATCTGCTTTCTACTCTGAGGGGAAGATAGGAATGAGCAATCTCAAGATAAACAACAAGATTCTTTTTACATTGGCAAATCGGAGTATTGACATTGCCTGGCCTTTGGCCTACATTTTGCAACATGTAGACCCTGCAATGGCATTTTACTTACCAAGATGAGTGCTTATCCGATGTGGTTGTTGACGTCTGTTGGGATCCTTGACTCAGATCAGTTTTGGTACTTATCCAATCGGAAGGATTTTACATACTTGATTTTCACCAGCCACAGTCTGATTATGCAATCATAGGTACAGTACATATACTAAATTGAAAAAAATGTGCGAGACTGTGCCCAATGACAAGGCATTGCGGGACAGAGCGAAAGGACACCACACTAACAAAGATATAGGATGCCGTGTGGGTTCAACTAGAAGAACAGAGGTAAGAGTTGGTATATTTTGTGGAGTTTTCTTTTTGGAGGAACAATGATGGCTTGTGTTTGACAGTTACCGTTCCCCACGGATAGAATGAATAGAGGACCTGATTTTGGCCTCAGCACTTAGTGGTCCTCTGGCAGAGCAGACCAACATGAAGACGAATAAGTTGCTGCCTCTAGGTCAATTCATTGCCCTGACATGGGAGTAATCGAGATGCATAGGCTTCGACTGCAGCGAAAATTCTGCCCAAGCATCATACAAGTCCATCTGGAATCGTTGATCGGAGACCTGGGCTTCCACATGGCATCGAAGCACCTCTCCTAAAGACGCCAAATTTCGGCTTTGTAAGTTCGAAATCATTTGACATAGTTCATCTTTGACTGGCCGAAAACGGTAACTCTCTGGAAAATACCTTGACGCCTCAACGTGATCAGAATCGGCGATGAGGGTGGTCACCCCGCTTAGGGCTGCCTCCAAAGGTGTGACTCCCAGCGTTTCATAGCGAGAGGGACAGATGAAGACTCCACTATCTTTTGCAAGGCGGAACAAAGCATGAAGTGATGTTCGAGATAATTTGGATCTGAAAGTTGCACACTGAGCAAACTGCCTGGGTACTTTGTTGCTCAGTTCGTGGAGTTCAGCGCTGTCCATGCTGGCACCTCCGGCGATAAAGAGTCGCACAGCGACATTCTGAGACCACAAAGCTACCGCTACATCAACGAGGAGGTCAACATTCTTAAAGTAATCAATTCGGGCAACTGCCGTGAACAGCGTAATCTGGCCGGTGTTGAACATCTCCGCAATTTCGCTCTCGACATGGTAGCTTGGATTAGAGAGCTGGATGGAAGGACATATCTCCCTGATCTTCGCTGTGTTCACCCCGTAAGACGAGAGAAGCTTTCCCTGTAAACGTGAAATCTGCAGCACGTATCCATCCCCCCGGTGCTTGAGTAGCTTTATCCCTATTTCTTGCTTTCGTGCCAGGTGTTCCGCCTTGTCTGCATCCCCGTACGCGTGCGCTGCCAAGGCCTCTGAGAAGATCCCAGAGAAATGCCGATGGAATGGAGCATGGTGAGTGACACAAAACGGCAAATCACGGGGATGGTATTCCAGTAGGGTATCTGTCTGATGATAGAGCATGGGAGTGCCTTCTAAGCCAGAGTTCTCCATGAGCATGCTAGCGGCAAGAGTGATGGCCTTTTCCACGCCAGGGGAGCTCATGTTAAAGTTGAACGCGAGTATCGCACATGGGTTGAAGTTGATAACTTGGATGGTTATGGATGGTTCGTCAATAGTCTCATCCCTTTGGTACAGGATGATGCCACAGAAGACCTTCATGCTCTTGAATGCTTGTGCGATGGACATCGATAACGCCTCAGTTCCCACTGTAGCTGCGGATCCATGTTTATTAGGGTAATATCTCTTGTTTAGCACTATAATAGCAGGAAGAAGGAGCTCTGAGCACGTGCTGTTAGCGGGAGGATAAGGATATGTGTTAATCTCAGCTGTGGGGCGATGCTTTAGATAATATTCAACTGTTGAAGACATTTCGAAATCTTGGTATGTACCCTGCTGCTATAAATTGATGGGGTATGCTCTATGTATAGGAGCTTTATGAGATAGCCTCTTTTCTAAAGAGGACTCTGCGGGGATGGAGCAGGCAGATAGCCAACTTCATATTCTAACTTGAGTAAGCTTACAACTTTGCCCTACCATTCAATGCTCCTTCCAAGGGGCTAGACATGACGTTAGCAGAGGTGCCACAGTCGGTTTTATGAGGTACACTTCTATGATGTCCTTGAGCCACCAAGAACACGGGCATTTCGCATTGGTAGAGGATGGTTCTAAAGTTATACCACACTGGTAATCATGGGATCATATTCTAACACGTTATTAGGAACCAATCATTACTTGGTAGTATGTCTGTTTAATGATAATGTGACTTTTTGAACTCCCCGGGTTCAAAGCATAAATAATACACATTGTTATACAATCATCGACACTGAGTTTTCAGACACTAGCTATTGCCAAAATTGGATAGAACGAGATTAATGTCATTTAGCGGCTTCACTTTCCTATGTGTGTCAATCATTGATTAGGAAAGATAATAGTTTGCCACACATTGTGTACTGAAGTACAGTCAGGACACCATTCTACAGAAATGACCCAGAACCACAGAAAACCAAGCCTCTGGTCGCCTCATTCCGAGTTTCAACATGGGCCTCACTTGGTTGCTGTCATATGACAGGCGTCCCATGGAATTGACCAATGGCAATTATTTGTTTAAGCTTACAGTGGTCAAGATCCGCCGCCTCTCTGAATTAAACTGAGTGAAACAATTGAGGTAAAGACCCGAAAATACTTCATTCTGACTACTTCAGTTCATATTACAATAAGACAGGACAGTATGTCGCTGGGTGCGGTCTACGTGTCATCCTACTAGACAGATGTAGCTATGGCTTCGTATCGCTGCATACTAACCGATTTCTTTTCTCATGGATATTCCCAGACTAGAGACCGAGGGCCTTTGATGGTATTGCCGCTGTGGAACTTGACTAGTGGAGTGCAAGTAAGAACTGTGTGACCATACCTGTCTTCAATTGTCAAACCCCCTCGTACTATAATTGACTACACCTTTGCCGAAAGATTATTTTTAACCTCCCCATCAAAGTTCACTAATAGCTGCCCTTAAATAATGGCTAACCTTCAGCACAACCGAGAACCTCGAAGCCGGGAAATGAAAGTACTGATCCTTGGTTTAGCCCGCACCGGCACGTCATGTAAGTAGCATGTACCCGACTATCCCCTGGGATACCAAGATAACCACCACCAAACAGCTCTCACTACCGCCCTCCAACAACTGGGATACAATCCCTACGACTGGCCTGACCGATGTATGCTCGGTCACCTCCCTCGGTGGACCGAAGGCCTCCAAGCGAAATACCTCGGCCGTGGCTGTCCTCTCGAAGCCGACGAGATAGACCAGCTCACTAGTGACTTTGACGTATCACACCCCATTCCTTATCCTTAATACCTCTCTCTACTTCCCTCCATGGCTGAGAGAAGGGGCTAATAGGCAATCATCGATACCCCCTGCTGCCTCCTGGTTGACGAACTAATGGCCGCCTACCCCACCGCAAAGGTCATACTAAACTACCGCGATCCGTACAGATGGCTCGAATCAATGCAAGACACTGTATTCGCCGTCGCGCGATGGCCATCCTGGAGAATCCTGGCATACACAGATCCGCGCTACGCAAGAGCAATCGTGCAGCATCATATTACCCTGTGGGATGAGATCTGGGGAGGAGACGAAGGAAAGAGATGCATGGAGATGTTCGTTGAGCACTACAATTATGTACGGAAGGTTGTGTCGCCGGAGCGACTGCTGGAGTATCAAGTGCAGGAAGGATGGGGACCGCTGTGCCATTTTCTAGAGGTGGAGGAGCCCAAGGAACCATTTCCGGTTGTTCATACGGGGACACAGTTTATGAGGACTGCTGTGAGGGGGTGGAGGGATTGTGTTGGGAGGAGTATTAGAAATGTGGCTGTAGCAGCGGTCTGCGGTTGGGTTTTGGTGTATGGGTTCTTTTGGGGACTGAGTTACTACATACTTTCGAGGTGATGAGTGAGATAAGATTAAGTCATAGATAAACGTGGACCTTATCGATAAACAAATTCATCAACGGTTCGGTGGGGCAGACTAGCGCGAAAGGCCGAGTCTCGGAGTTGACTCTTAGTGACTTTTCGTCCGCCTTCAATTCTCCTAATACTTCCTCCCCACACAACCTTAGCACCCCATGGATTCTCAAGGTGACCTAAATATCACTGATTTTGATAGTGTGTATCCTAATAGTGAGTATCAAAATAATCTCCTGCCAGAAAACGGTATCTCTTAACAAGTATCTGTAGCTCAAGCACCCCACAGTCTTCTGTCAGCTCTGCTGCAGGGGGACAATACCTATCAGAATTATGTGACATCTGATGACCACACGGCACCCCTTTCTGGATATATGCAACATGCGCCACTTGATATCTGCCCTCTCAATGAAGAGGTGGCGCTCCCCGAGATGCAGTTGGCCGACTTTCTGGATGATGGGTCGTCCTACAGCTTTTACGATACCCACGATATTGGAACCTGGAATGCAGTGGCGTTGCAGAAGCCGCAATTTATCAGTGGTTATGGTGGACAGCTACAACAGTCACCTAGTGTAACATCTACGCAGAACCTGAGTTCCTTTGAACCCGACATGGCTTCACGAGATTTTGATAGCGCAAACGCAAGTCTACCTGGCAGCAGAAGCAACAGCCGCAGCCGATTAACTGGAAGTTCTTTGTCAACGCCCACATCTATCTTATCAGACAGCGGTATGGATCCGATGCAGAGATGGCGTGAGAGTCCTCCAGAAACCGAGGCAGCATCTTTGTCGGCTATAGTGGATGCCTTGCGTACAATGTCTACTCGTAGGCATGTGCGTTCGAGCTCGGGCGGAAGAGCGGAATCCATCGCAAGCCTTCAGAGCGGCACTAGTCGCTCTTCAAGCTCAGTTGCATCGACCAGATCATCGAGATCAGTCAGCCGCCGAAGTCCAGTACCCAAATTCAGAGGCCGAGTAAGAAAGACATGCAATGATGCTGCCGTACAGAAAGGCGACGCTCGGATATTTCATTGTACGTTCTGTTGTGATACATTTAGAAGGAAGCATGATTGGACTCGCCACGAAAAATCACTCCACTTGAACGTTGACCAATGGGCTTGTGCCCCATTTGGCGGTTCAGTATTGTCCTCGACAGGAAGAAACCATTGTGCTTATTGCAATCTGCTCGATCCGACTGATGATCATCTGGAGAGCCATAACCATAGCGCTTGCCATAGCACTCAAGAACCGCGTTTCTTTAGACGGAAAGACCACCTTGTACAGCACCTTCGAGGATTTCATAATCTCAAGACTTTACCAACCATTGAAGACTGGAAGGTGGAACCCCCTTTAGTCACCTCTCGGTGTGGTTTCTGTGATGAAAAGCTACCTTCATGGCAGGCCCGTGCCGATCATTTGGCGGGTCATTTCCGGCAGGGCTTGACCATGAGCGATTGGAAAGGCGATCATTGCTTTGAGCCATCTATTGCGGCTCAAATCAAGAATGCCTTCCCCCCTTACCTCCTGGCGTCTGAAGCTAAAAGCATGGTGCCGTTCTCCGCGACCGACCCAGCGACACTTGATCATTTGTCCCAGATCTATCAACGGAATGGAGAGATATATTCAGATCAGCAACTGGATGCAGTCGCCTCGGAGGGCGACCCATTATTCGATCTCACACCTACATCTTATATGAGATGGGTGACTTTCCGCCTAGGGCGTTTCGCACAACAAAGTATCGCAAATGGTATCTTTCCTACCGATAAGATGTTCCAAGATGAATCCAGGCGACTGGTATATGGAGATAAAGATGCATGGGAGCAAACCGTAGCAGATAATAACGAGTGGCTGGCAGCCTTTCGGAGGCAATGCCTTCCGCCGATGTGAATGGTAAATGATTGACGCTCTCCTGTGCAGCTCAACAAGGACTTTTATACTTAGCTTCCCGACTATTTTAGATAATCACCGTTTTTCAGAACTAATTTCTTTATACGTGATATGAGCGCGGCGACTCAGTGGGGCTTAGAGTATCTTGCACGGCTGCAGCCTCTTGAAGGCACGTCGCTCTTCCAGTGTACTCGTAAGATGAGTAAGAGGAAACCGAGAGGGCAGGGTGGGGCAGCTCGAGCTTATTCTGATACAGCCTTCTTGGCCATTTGCTGAAAATGGGTTGAGTGGACACTGATAAGCTAGCCTTAGGGCGCATTCTCCACTACACTGCGCCTTAAGGCTTATCTCGCGCCAGACCACGTACTGGTTCTTCACCGACTTCAAAGGACCTGCGGTTTCGAACCGTGGGCTAACAACACAATATGCGTTGTTTAAATATTCCATTGCCCTCGGAAATGGGCTCGCTCCCAACATTTGAGCCGCCTCTTGAGCTATCAAATCTGACGACAGAAGCGCCCCTACAAACGAGCCTCCGATCGATATCATAATGGACCTCTCTGCAACTCAATCGGCTTGCACAGAAGTTCCTGAAAAACAGAGACTTCTGAACGAGATCTACGAAAGAAGAGCCAAAGCTGGTAAGCTCGTCGCTGGTGTGGCTGCCAAATCTAATAGTGACTTGTTCAAGGCTAAGGTGAGACCACCTACTCAAGCCTCATTTTAACATTCGCTAAAACGAGAACTAGGGATCTGGAAAACCGAAAGCTAAGTGCTGGGACTGTGAGACCCCAAGTCCCACTTGATCTGGAATACCTTCAGTTGCTGACTAAATCCTTAAGCTCATTTCAGCTCGGAATGCAAGGCACGATTGCCCTGTGTGCTTCAACAAACCGCTGGCTATCTCAAAACCCGGGTCTGATCTCTCTTGGGGGTGGGCTCCCCTCTAGCGAATACTTTCCGTTCTATGATTGCACACTTCGTGTGCCCAAACCGCCGCATTTTTCCGAGAAAGATGCTTTATCGCCAGACAGTCCTACAGTCCAGACTGTAAACATTGGGAAATATGACGTTAATAATGAGCTCTCAGAGTATGACCTCTCTATCGCATTGAACTATGGGCAGTCAACGGGTTCGCCCCAGATGACACGCTTCATTACCGAGCATACTCAGCTAGTCTCTAACCCGCCCTATGCCGACTGGAAAGTCTGTCTGACAGTCGGAAGCACCAGTGCCCTTGAGCAAACGGTCCGCATGCTTTGTGACCGTGGACGGAATGATTCCATCCTTACAGAAGAATACACCTTCTCCAGCGCACTTGAAACCTTTGCACCCCAGGGCATCAAAGCCTTTGGCATCAAAATGGACGAAGAGGGACTCTTACCAGAGAGTATGGATGGCCTCCTCAGTTCTTGGGATGAAACGGTCCGTGGCGCCCGAAAGCCACACATCCTATATACTGTTCCCTCAGGACAGAACCCGACGGGCGCGACCCAAAGTCTCAAGCGACGTCGCGAAATCTATGCAATCTGCCAGAAGCATGACATTTACATAATCGAAGATGAACCATACTACTTCATTCAAATGCCTCCCTACCAGGGCAAGGGTACCCCCGCACGAAAGTCTCCCGAAGATATTGAATCTTTCCTGACCGGACTTATCCCCTCGTATCTAAGCCTTGACGTCGACGGCCGAGTACTACGTATGGATTCTTTCTCCAAAGTACTCATGCCAGGATCGAGATTGGGATGGATTACAGCCAGCGCACAAGTAGTCGAGCGTTATATTAACCACGCTGAGGTTGCCAACCATGGCCCAAGCGGGATCTCACAACTCATGCTCTGGAAGCTGCTTGATGAGACCTGGGGACATGAAGGATACCTGAAATGGCTGATGGATTTGAAAAACAACTATACCAGTAGGAGGGATATGCTGCTTGCTGCTTGCGAGCAGTTCTTGCCCAAAACCATTGTTAGTTGGACGCCGCCCACAGCGGGCATGTTTGTAAGTTTTTCTTTTCTTTTCTTTTTTTTCTCCTTGGTGTCAAGGACGACAACGACTTGCTCTTATAAGTTCCCTTAATATTAACTGATGCACTACTGCAGCTCTGGCTCAAGGTAGATCATTCAAAACACCCAGAATACCCCCGTCGCTCCATCGAAGAGCTTGAAGAAGAGATCTTCCTTCAGGGTATTAGCAATGGCGTCCTTTGTACTCGCGGTGCCTGGTTCCGCGCTGAGCCGAACACGCCTGCGAGTGGGATGTTCTTTCGCACAACATTTGCAAGCGCCAGTGAGGAAGCGATGGGCACTGCCATTCAGCGGTTGGGCCAGGCGATCCGCCAGTCATATCAAATTGAGTAGATGCAATGCTAAGTGCACAGGTAGCTGGTCGACGATGTCACCTCAGGCCACAAATTAGCAAGGCTGTATTGGCTATTTCTAATAAAGGTCCAGTATAGCAAGCAGCTAGCAATGGGAAATAATCATGTAACTTGATCAACAAGTGGAATCTTAGTTCTTCGTGCTTCATACAAAACCACTTTATAATATATTTTAGATAGAGAAGACAGCTTATACATCGAGGCAATAGAGTATACGAAATCGCCTTATAGAAACAAATTACAATAGAAGTTAAGCCTTTAAAAGTGTAGAAAATAGAGTGACCGAGCAGAATTGGCTGAAAAGTCTTCCTAGAATCAATCAACAAGAAGGCTTTTAGTCAGAAAAGCTCATGCAGATGCCCTCGAGACTTCATAAAGTTGTTTCAAAGAACAAAAGACGAAGAGTCTAAGAAAATAAAGAAGTAATAACAGAAGTTTAAACGGCATATAGAACACTAAACGTTTACATGGTCCCTTAAGCCGATGATGAGGCGGTAAAGATTACTTGAATCGGAAATAGATAGGTAGATTGAGCGGAGTGGGACAAGTTGACTATTCACGGCCTCCATAGATTGGTTGAGTTTGAACATACAATTGTATGAGGGGCAGGTAGAACGACAAGTGAAGAAGACCTTCTTTCCCCTTACCGTCAAACAAGATAACAACACCCAAGAATGCACAGTACACATCAGCCAAAGCTCAGAAATCTCCAGAGAAAAGCGCGTACAGGTATACCATTCATCCTATACCAAACAGAAGCCAAGATGGAATAGTTAGATAGCACTCAACAAGCGAGAGAAACCTCCAGAATAGCATTCGGCTGCTTAGGATCTGTGGTAACCTTCTCCAACCTAAATCTTGGATCAGCCTCACCCAGAATCCTCTGCCACTCGACAATAGTCCATTCATGAGAACCAAAGTATACCAGCATCGTAACATCCATAGACCTAACCAGAATTCAAATCCACGCATCAGCAAAAAGCGTCCCCATACTCCGTGGAACCCAGTAATACTAGACATACCGTCTCCGTCGCTCCTCAAACGGCGACACAGTGAGCGGCTCATGTAACATAAAATCATCAATGATCAGCCTCGTCGCCGGCCGCATGGCCGGTACATGCTGCCTAAGAATCCAGACACATTGGGCATCGGGCCAGTTGTGGAAGATATTCCAGAAGTAGTAGATGTCCGCGACAATGGTCTGCGGGGAGAAGAAGTCATGGACCTGCCAGCTCACGGCACCCCTATCCGTGTTGTGGTCGCCATTCGATGTGGCTGTAGACGGTAAAGAAGACGGATCAAGGGCGGTATCTTGTACCAGGAAGCGAAACTTTGGTAGTTGCTTGGCTAGGCACAAGCTGATGACGCCGTTGCCGCCGCCGACATCGACAAAGAGGGACCTGGGTGCGTATAGGCAGAATGGGACGCTGTTGAGGATGAAGTGGAAGTCGATCTGGACGACCATTGCGCTCATGTCGTGGTTCCAGCGTTCTAGGCGGTTGGGCCATCTCTTAAGTTCGTCGTAGAGGCCATATTTGGTATTGTTTGCTAGGGAAAAGCCCTAGATATAGTCAAGATGAAGTCAGTGAAGGTATTGTTTTATATGTTTTAAAACGTTCCCACATCCGGAACAGTGGGTAATAGTAATAATAATAATGAGAACATACCGACTGATTCGACTGCGAATCTCCATACTTCACAAGAGCTTCAACGGACTAGTTCACACACACACACACACACACACACAAGAGAGTTGGTCAGTATGAGCGGACGGAATATCATACCACAGGCCACTCAACTCGTGTGGACGCCGGAAAGCGTTCTTCGCATATAATACCCGAAAACGAGCGGGTTCTCTCGTCTTCGACCAGCAATCTGGTGGCGGCTGTGTGGGCCACGAAGTCACACTTCGGTTCCGAAAAGACATGCCGCGTCATGGCTAGACGGAGAATCCGCTTCAAAACGATCACGTTCAGTCCGCACCGACCGGAAAGCTCGTCAAATACGATTATCTCGCCGTGGCGGAAGCATTGGGCAATGCGATATCGATGGATGACTTGCATACAAAGAACATCGTTGGCCTGGACATTTTAGGCACGCAAGACAACCAAACATGGTGCCCATGGCGGGCTTCTCACGTTGATATCCTCCAAGAGAGCAGCGGGTCCCAGAACAAGATCAAGTAAGGTCCGTGTGGGCGCTTATAAGGGCTGTCCGTGCATCTTGGACTTGTGGAGGGCTAGATGGGGGAAGGATGCTCCTGGTGGGTAGGGCTGCAGGGCCGTTCGAGGCAAAAAAGTCGTCTAAGATCACAGCGTTGTCCCTAACCAGGCCGACTAGCGTGAGGATTGACTCAGGTACCATCTTATTTAGAGGGACAACGGAGTAGGTCAACCAACAATGGCTGCTGGGAAATGGTATAGTCACGTTGCAAGGGCGGTGGTAGATGTATACGCTGGATAAGTCCTCCTGTCACTCCTACACACTTTATACCCTCACGAACAGAACAGGGTACATCACTCATCATTCAGTCTTAGCTCGTTCACAATTATTTCTGGTAGACAGTATATTGAGAAGTTTTTCCATTAAGCCCCATCATTCTATCACATGGGACCCTCCATAAGTCTTTGTCAAAAGCACTACTGGAAAGCAACTAGCCATGGTTCTAGCCCTAGGATACTTCGGACTCCGGAGTAAGTCGCAGCGTGCTTTGGGGGCAAGAAAGTGGGGAATTTGAGGGATTATTATCCCACTGACAGACCGATACTATCCTGGACCGCCATATAGTATGTACATACTACACACTAAGCAAGGGGGACGGACGGACGGACTGAGGCCTGAGACTAGGAGTAGACCTCAGAATAGTCTCCACCTGTTATCTTACAGATAGTAATTCTCTCGTTTTTCCAAACGGAGATGCAGGCCTTGAACCTTAACAAACCACCTGAAACGGACAGGGTAGTACCACTTCCAGTCAACGTCGACAGCCCGATAATGGGTACTCCTTGACTTACCAGCAATTTACCGATATTTCGGTTTTAGGGTCGGCGGATCCTACGTCGTACTCAGGTAGCAGACACGAAAGGAACTTAACATGCTTGGTAGCTATGCTTCTTATGAAATGGCCCTTATCGTGGTTGTTCTTTTCTCACCTTTGATATCTCTAGCAAGCCGAGACCTGATAGGTGTTAGCCATACGCAACGAGGCTTCGAAGACGGAGAGGGATTAAACTACTCTTGCCAATACAGGTTCGCGAACCCGCACCGAATGCGAAGAAGAACCGTTCTAGCTAGATCCTCAGCTTGTTGCACGTTGCTTCTGACAAGGAGTCATACCCTTTCGGCTCGCATTACCTTCCAGCCATCGTTCGGGGCGGAAGACATCGGCATCCTCACCGAAGATCTGTTTATTACGGTGAATTACCCATGGATTCGTTCCAATGACAGTCTGTCTTCCCGAGTTAGTTCATGCCTCACATGAAAGCCGGCTAGACATACGCCGCCAGGGAGATGTTGACCACCCACTACGACCCCCCCGGGTGGTGTGACTCTTGGGAGGGACATTCCCACAGCCGGATGACAGCGCAAGCCCTCCTTAATGCAAGCCTGCAAGTACGGCATATTTTGGGCCACCTCGAATGGTACGTTGGCACGTCCGATGCGGTCAGCCTTCGCCTCAGTAAAAATCTCCTGGCAGCAACCTCGCCTTGCACTCCGGATACTTGCAAAGGTAGTAAAGGATCGCTCTAATGGAAATGGCGGTGGTGTCACTTCCCGCAAAAATGTCACTTGATGCCATGGACAAGACTGGTGTATTATCGAACTGTTCTGGACTCTTACTGTGGACTTCCATCAGCTTCTCCAGAATGTCCGGTGATTGCCTGGGGTGGATTTTCGTCGCTCGACTTCTCTCACCGCGATTTGCCGTAGCAGGCCATGGCGGTTTGTGATTCCCAAGTGGTTTCCAATCCAAGGGGATAACCAGTCGTAAACCCAGTAAACCCACGGTACTTGGCCAATCCATGCAGCGGACTGGAGTGCTCGCTCAATCTGAGCAAACGTTCCCTTATCACTGGCCGTGTCGATGAAGCCGAAGCGTTTAGAAAATGTGAGTTCACCAATAACATCTACACTGATTCTTAGCACGTCAGTCGCGTACTCGCAGTCAGTGCACCTACCGAAAGCAAACAGCTGAACCCAGTAACTCATGTCGATGCATCGCGTATCAGTCTGTGACAACCGCACGAGATAGACATTCAACACGTCATCCAGATAAGGCACGGGCTCTTTTAGGCCGCTCATACAGTAAACGGAATTGACGAGCCGGCGCTGGGCAGCATGAACTTTTGCGTCCCGTTCCGGGAAGAGGTCAAATTTCCGTCGACCTTGCCAAACACTGTACCAGTCGCTTTTGTGGAACTTCGACGCGGGGCCTGTAGCCATTGTTAGATATATACCCAAATTGTACAAGTGTGAGATATAGTTGGTAAACCAATTGGCTGCATGAAAATTGAAATACGAACCATAGATTAACTGAATCGCATCTAGATTCGAAGTGCTCACTTCATTCGGGCCTGTGCGGACTAAGCTGCCATGCTTATCATGTAGTTGGATCATAGTGCCATGCATGTCGCCTCTGAGAGCATGGTTGATCATCCACAGAGGCGACCACCGAGCCCAGAATGGACCGGGTACTGAGGAGAGAGGGTCGCCGAGTTGGAGGAGTAATGGGATGGCAATGACCACGAAAAGACTCCCTGCTACCACATAGTGCGGGTCCCATGTCCAAAGTAAATCGAACGGCATGTTAAAGGAAATAGTCGTGGCACTCAGACTGTATGTTAGAAGGGAGTGGGCCGAGATGGATGGACCGGTGATTCATGCATTTATAGCAATTTTACCGTAGTCGTAGTAGACGTGCTAGTGTAAAGATACGATGGGGTCAGGGACCATTCAACCATATGATCTGAGGGCCCTTTAGTTTAATAGTTAGTACTGATGCTCAGTACTAACGCTCAACCTCGGTAGGCTCTGCAGATAGATTACAGGGGTCGGGAAAATCCATTTATGACGGGATCTTCCCCACCAATTTTTCCTTGTTGTCTCCTATAGATCAAACTGCCATGATGACAACCTCTCAGTTCCAAGTCAAAGAGCACACCATCCCATGTCAATCCATTCGGGAGTATCACCATGCAGTGAAAGGAGTTGACCCTCCATTGCAGTTAGCAGTCAAGCAGTACATCCCGCTCAACAACCTCAACCCTAGCCCAGACGATATTACAATCATCGCTGGACATGCCAATGGAATTCCCAAAGTGAGTTGGCCCTGCCCATCCGCACCTATATTTGCTAAGATCCGAACCCCCCTTCTATAGGAGTGCTATGAGCCTATCTGGGATGATCTCCTCAGATTGACCCGCGTGAAAATTAAGGCAATCTGGATGGCAGACTGTTCTCATCAAGGGGCCAGCGGGGTGCTAAACGAGCAAATCCTCGGAGACGACCGTAAGCTACTACCCATTGAAGGGAACGTCCAGTACCAGTCTCTTTACTCACGATATATATAACTCGATAGCAAACTGGTTCGATCATTCCCGAGATCTCTTACTCATGGTCAATCATTTCCGAGACCAGATCCAACCTCCAATCGTAGGAGTCGCCCATAGCTTCAGCTGCTCGCAATTTGTGCATTTGTCGATCATGCATCCCCGACTTCTACACAGTCATGTCTTCCTGGAACCCATGATCCAAGTGGAAAGTCCCAGCCAGCTCGGGGCCCCAGTCCCGCTCGGTGGACCAGTACCCGCCCCGATGAGTGGCCCTCTCAGCAAGACGCGGAGACTCACATTCGCAGAAACCCATTCTGGCGCCGATGGGACCCGAGGGCGGTGAATGCATACATTCAATTCGGGCTGCGGCCCGTTCCAACGTCGTCTTCGGGCGCCGTGACCCTCACGACTACCAAGGCGCAAGAAGCCTGGACGTATCTGCGGTTCAATCCTACCCCACACGTTGGTAGTGATCTCACGGAGCGTTTCCTCAACCCAGACCTCGCCGTTACGGCAAAGGAAGGGGATAATCACAATCCGAACTACGTAACTGTGTGCCCGTGGTCGTGCATTGCGTTTGAGTTTCTACCGTACGTGCGGCCGTCAGTCTTGTTTGTCTTCGGGGAGAAAAGCCATATTAACCTTCCTGCGCGGCGGCGGGATAAGCTCGAGCGTATGGGGGTGGGGCTGGGGGGCAGCGGAGGCCTGGCAGCGGGACGCGTGCACGCCGAGGTTCTACCGGGTTCATCCCATATGGCGCCGCTGGAGAAGGTGCAGGATACAGCGCGTCTGATATCGCTCTGGCTGGAGGCACAGCTGGAACTCTACTTGAAAGAAAGAGAGTTTTGGGGATGCCAGTATAACAGCGGGAAGTCCGAACAGGACGGGAGGGTCCTATCGGCGCAGTGGATGAAGTGTATGAAGGAGCCGGTGGATACTAAGCGGCCTGCAAAGCCTCACTTATAGTTGGGTATATCGGCTGTGCAACACAGAGGGCGTGTGAAGGATTCCCAACTATCCTGGCAAGGTATTGTTTGAGTAGATAAGAAAGTTAGACAGTAGACAAGAATAAAGGCATACCCACTGTGACAGTATGACATGACCTTTCAACTAAGGTACGAATTACAGCGGCATTGCCATAAATTAATCGTGGCTCTAGGGACAAATGAAAGGCAGTAGGCTTGCAAGGGCTACCGTTAGTGGCTACCGTAATGTACTATTTACATCAAGGGCTGAGATTGTGACATTAGGACGAGGTCGGTACTCCATGGGGCTTGCGGAAGAATCGTGGATGACGAGTAAAAGGCACGAGCTACACCCGGTGAAGGCCGAATCGGCCCGAACCTTTAGTGCGTTAGACTGTAACTTGGACCGTTTAACTAAAATGACCTTTCCTGATGCCGCGTGTAGTTGCTATTCTTTCCGTAGCGGTGCTGAAAGACCGGGTCGATATGTTCGCAAAGCAGACCTGTGTAGTATCCCAAACAACCGAGGTCACGGAAACTATAGAAAATAACATCTTGGAGAGAAAAATCGTCTTATATACCCACAACAAACAACAGCCCCATTCATCCGACATCTACATGTGACATCTACCGACAACTCCCCTCGGGTAATCAATGTGGCTAATCTACAGGCAAAGGTTCTCCAACAACCTCTCCAACACATAACTCCCAAGTATAAAACAACCAACACAACTTCACATCCATAAACCCCCAACCTCCCCCAAACAAACCCAACCATAAAGAAACCAGAGAAATAGAAAGAAAAAAGGAAAAAAAAAAAAAAAAAAACAAAGATGACCACCCCCCTCCCCCTCCCAGCAGGCATAACCAGCCGCCTAATCCCCACAAAAACCCTAACCTTCCACATCCTCGAATCCAACCCGGACCCCAGCACCCCACGCCCCCTCCTGCTCCTCCTACACGGCTTCCCCGAGATCGCCTTCTCCTGGCGCAAAGTCATCCCCCCACTAGCGGCCGCCGGCTACCACGTCGTGCGCCCGACCAGCGCGGCTTCGGCCGCACAACAGGCTGGGGGACACGGCCCTTCTCGGAGGTGGACCTACACACATTCACGCTGACGAGCTTCGTGCGGGACATGGTGACGCTCGTACACGCACTGGGGTACCGATCCGTGCAATGCGTGGTCGGACACGACTGCGGGGCCGTCACGGCGGCGATGTGTGCGCTTGTGCGGCCGGATTTCTTCAAGAGTGTCGTGCTGCTCAGCCATCCGTTTAACGGGAGTCCTGTTTTGCCGTTTGGTACTGCCGGTGGCTCTTCTTCTGGGGAGGTAGAGGAGAAGGGTGCTGGAGGGACGGAGTCCGCAGCGGGGGGACCACGTGCATGGAGAGCTTGCGGCGCGCGGCCGGAAGCATTATAAGTGGTATTACTCGACCGAGCCGGCGAATGAGGAGATGGTGGAGCCGGTGGCTGGGCTTCGGGAGTTCCTGCGCGGGTACTTTTATCTGAAGAGTGGGAGTGGGGTGGGAATCGGCCGTTTCCGTTGGAAGGGTGGACGGCGGAAGATTTGGTGAAATTGCCGTACTATTATGTTATGCCGTTGGAGGCGGATATGCGGGAGGCTGTGCGGAGGCATATGGAGTCGGAGTCGGAGGCGGCGGTTGCGGCTTCGAGGGCGTGGTTGTCGGATGAGGAGCTGGCGGTCTATGTGGGTGAGTATGCGCGGACGGGGTTTCAGGGCGGGTTGAATTGGTATCGCGTGAGGACGGCTGCTGGCGGACGGTATACCGGGGATTTTGATGTGTATGCTGGCCGGAAGATTGAGGTGCCGGCGGCTTTTGTGTCGGGGAAGTTGGATTGGGGGATTTACCAGGAGCCTGGGGCTTTGGAGAAGATGGTAGATGGGAGGGTTTGCTCGGATTTTAGGGTGCTCAGGTTGGTGGATGGGGTTGGACATTGGGCGCCACAAGAATGCCCTGAGGTTGTGGTCGAGGTTGTTTTGGAGTTGCTACGGGGGCTGTAGGTGATTCTCTATCTGGGCGATGGAGAGGTGGCTTATCTCGGGTGATGATAGCAAGGTAGAAGGGAGGTTGTAGGAGTGTAGAATGTTACATTGATTAACGCAATCATGCCATATACTATACTAAGCTGGTTTACAGACATCAGTGAGAAAAGGGTAACTATATTGGGTATGTACGAGTGAAGACAATATAACAAGCCTGCACAATTAGGAGAGGTAAGATAAACATAAGCATTTACATCATCATAGCACCCATCACAGCCGCTAATACAGCAGGTAATAACGTCGTAAACGTCCCTCTCGTTGCACCCTGTGCAACAGCACCCGACGTCAGCGACGTTGCAGCGAAGATCTGTGAGAAGGCGATATGACTTGAGTTGAAGCAGTTATCGCGGGTGACCTCGGCGACGTCTTCGGGTTCCGCGAACTCGATATCCACGCACTGCAACATATCAGTACATATCTATGAAGAAGACCTAAGATACATATAACATACATTGTACAAAGCGGCGCCATGTTTAGCCGTCTCGACGACTTGAATCGTAGCATGGTCGCCTGGACTCACGCTGATGTTGGCCGGCAACGGGACCTGTGGCAAGCAAACTGTGCCCGGGTACGGCTCATTGGAAGGACCGTTGATCTGGAAAGGTGGGATCATGGGATGGCTCATATTCTCGGGCACTGTGCCCAAGCCTAAGTTGATGTAGATGAATGCTGTGGCGTGACCCTGGAACCAGCCAGGTTGGAAGGAGACCGCGCCGCCGCCGACAGGCACTTGGTTCTATTCGTTGATGTGGGCATACCTCCACCTGTAGGATGAGTGATTGTTAACAGAATAACAACTTATTTCGGCTGTTGTTGGGTCATCATACAAGGATAGATCCATTGCTGTCCATAAGGGTATATTAAGGAGTTATTGTTCGTTGTGTTGGGGCTCATAGCTACTCCGAGGCCGTTGGTTTCCTGAACGGTGCCGGTTGTATGTAAGTTGTTCCCCCTATAGCCGGGATAAACGATGACCGTGTGGGCATTTGCCAAGCCCAGACACATAAGGAGGAAGGCCATCCATTGCGATAGTGATGATGGGAATGTCCCCATGGTGTTCGGCATCAGTCTCGACAGAGGTGTCGATCAAGAAAGGAAAAAAGAAAGGTGGAAGCGACGAAGCCAGAGAGCAGAGATACGAAACTCTCCTGAGCTCTCTCAACCTAGAAACGCATGCAGAGATCCAAGCCAACGCGATGTCAACCAATATGCGAGCAGTTTATTCGTTTTGCACGATCATCATCGAAACAAGCTTCCAGCAACTGAAGGAGGATGGGCGGATAGACAAGACTTTTTGAGGGGCACAAAGCATGGTCCAAATCCTGCAATCGCGCTCGCCTCCAGGCTCAGTGGGGAGGAGGTGATCATGTCGGACGAGTGAGGACGCAGCAGAGCGATGTGATCCAACCCGCAGAAGGGGGAATGCTACACCAAACTCTGTGAAAACCTTTGACAGCTGCAGCATGGCATTGGATGTGCGCGAGAGGAGTCAACGGGAGGTCAGCGCCTGGGATTGGACCGACGCAGAGCTCCAAGACGCTCACTGCAGGAGGCATCACTTTCGGCAGCGTGATTCGCCATCTCATTCGTGGAAGGCCCGTCCTGCAAGCGCCCCTAATCGGACGCTAACAAAGGCACATCACAGCCGCTATCAAAGGCTGGGCGCTTAGAGAGATCATCTGAGAAAACCGCGGACAGCGTGTTTGACAGACGAGCATAGTCGAAGTAACATCGGGAATAAGCACCGTTGTCATCCAGAGAGAATCATGTTGACACTTAGAGTACCTCAAGATACAATGTGGAAGATGTGTGGAGGACTGATTAAATGCAAAGCCGATCAAAATTCCCGATAAGATAACAAAAACCACTCTTGACCGCCCGCATTTATCGCGATCAATCAATTCATCTATCGCACCACCACCACCACCACCATGTCCTCAATTTCAACACCGACCCGAAATCCTAGTTGGAATCCCTGCAATAATGCCCCACAGCAATCGCAAGAGAAACCTCAAGCACCCTAAGCGTCTCGAAGTCACCGACCCCAGCGGCTGGACGCACGTCACCGCGGGCGGAAAAAGCGCCCGTCGAGCTCTCCGTGCCACCCAACAGCACCATGACAACCCAGAACAGGGCGAACAGTCCCAGATCCTTGTCCCCGCCGAAGCGCCGGCACAGCTGAATTTGGAAGATCTTCAAGCACAATTCCGAGGGTATCAGCAGCGATGGGAGGGGTCGGACAGTTGGAGGGTGGTCGAAAGGGCATTGTCGTCGGCCACAGGGAAAGTGGATCGCATTGTCTGCGTTGGACTGGGAAGTCCGAGCGGGTTTCTGAAGGGCGGTTGGGTGGATAGAAGGAGCGTGTCAATGTATCAGCTCGCCGGGTTGGTGAGCGTTGTGGATTGCATGAGTGAGTCTTACGTTCTCGATCTTCTTGCGGCGCTTCTACAGGCGGGCAAATATCTTGCATGCTGACATTTTTTGATTAGAAAAATCAATTCCGAATCTCGAAGTCTTCGCTCAGGACCCTGTGTTCAATACCCATGACCGATCCCTGCTCGCTTCTCTTGACATTGTTGTTCTCGATCACCCCCATGGCTTCGAAAAAGTCTGCCCGGGCACTCTCCTCTATTGTCCCGGCGCGGAACGGACGCACCTTGAACAGCTTCTTTCTCGTGCGCCTACACTGGCTTTTGGTGGGCCATTAGAAGACATCGAGTCGGAGGCTGTGAAGCAGTTCGTGGAATCAAGGAAGTCCGTTAGGGTCCCGCGGTTCGAAGACATGGAACATGCGTTCTGGAATATGAAAGTATATTCACATGAGAATGATGAGCAATAGATGAGAGGACGACGTATTGTTAATGCTCACTGTAAATACAGCTGTATGGTACGATTTATGATTTCCGTCTGGACTAACTGGATAGGAGTAAAATACTACGACCGAGTATCTCTATTAGCGAACAGATGGATGCTGAATTGAAAGTAGTATTTGCAAAAGTCTGGAACACCCCACCAACGTCGAGCGTTCAGAAGATATATACACAATGACACTCTCCCAGCAATCATCCAGGCATGCATATGCAACATAGAACCACTCTCAATAGTTCACACAGAAAGAAAATATCAAGTAACGCATCAATCAAACATTTCAACCATCCATTAAATTACAAACCCAAGAGCAGAATGCAACACCGAAGCGTATCCTTGCAAAGCCTATACTGCATCATAAAAAGGAATGTGGTCGTTATCATCAAGGATAGGAAGGAAAGACAGGGGAGAGAGGAAAGGGATTTCGTGAGAGTCGTAGGAAAGATCATGAGGTGCGACAGAACCGATGGAGCCATTGATTATGCGGCTGTCTTGCCGCCACAATCAGGAATCTTGAGCCCAGGCTTCAACTTGCGCGCAGCATCCATAAGGCCCCATTTGTCTTCCCAATTCTCATCCTCGGTGTTATACTCGATCTTCCACGGCTCATCGAACGCCTCGAACCTAGAAAATCTGTTAGAATACGGTCCATCTGAAGTTGAAGTGGGGCAACATACCAGAAGTAATCTGTGCCGTTCTCCAGTGCTTGACAAACCCAATCCGACATAAATTGGTTCATTTCATCAATGCCAGCTACGGAGCCGGATGTATCGTCCGCACACTTGTTATTCGAACCACAATCATTACCGCCACCACTTGGCCATCCCACCTCAGATATGACCTGCTTCTTATTCGTGCCCTTCGTTAGCGGGACATCTTTCTCATTCCAGAAATTCCAGGTCCAGCTGGCAGCGTCCTTAGCCGTAACTCCCGCAAAGAAGGGGTGCACGTTAGACATCACTAGATCTGTAGCCGTGACGAGATTTTGGTCCCAGTTGTCACCAAGGTCGGACGTTGCTATGGGAAGGTCATAGTTCTTCTCTTTGAAGTGATTTCTCACATCGTCCATATACGAGATCAGCTTCTTTCTCGCGCTTGCGCTATCACTACCTGCCCGATATAGTGCTTCGTTACCAACAATGGCTCCCTTGAAAATGGATATATCTTTCGTTTCGTCCAGGACCTTGTATAGTTGCTTGATCTGTCGATCGTTCGTCGTGTCGTTCGAGTCAATCCACACTCCTAGCCAGAGCTTCATGTCCTTCAGCTCTAGTCTGTCAATCGCATGCAAGACCATCTCTGTTTGATTGCAATCTGTGCCGTAGAGCCTAACAGTGTTAGTCAACTGTGATAGCACTGCCACATCACGAGTGACGTTGTTTTGCGAAGGTGGGTATTTAAGACAGAGCGGGTACTGGACGCCCCAGGGAGTATAATCCATGCCCGGAAATACTTTGTGGAGGTCCGGATTGTTCATTAGATCTTTGATCTCCGAGGAGTCTTTATTGAGGTCACCATTCGATTCGGTATCGCTGGATGCCGATTTTGTAGTATCCGGGGCTTCATTCTGTCGATTTCCTAGAGTACCACCGACAGCGCCGCCAACAATCGCCCCGACAACAATGAAAGCTAAGGCAAGGCCTACAATCCACCCACGTTTGCGACTCCCTCCCCCAGGTGTAGGTTTGGTCCATCGGCTCTTTTCTCCAGCCTCCAAGCCTGCTCCCGGCACAGGCCCATAGGACGGATTGTCGGCTTTCTTCGACTTGAACAAGCCAAATAGCCCACCTGCGGCGGCCCCCCCAGCGGCGGCTGCTGGAACTGCTCTCGCGTTTTGACTCGCGGACTTGCCATTCGGGGCAGGCGTGAAGCCATCATCTCCATCATCTCCATCATCGGCGATCTCATCAGGGTTTATGACAAGGGGATAGTCGCCTGCGGCGCTGTAGGCGGACTGTCGTTGATATGGGCCTGCATCCATAGCCCCCACACCCTGATACGGACTCTCAAATAAACTGCGTTGAGACGGATTGGAGCCACCGGGAGTCAGCTGGCCGGCGGGAGCAGCGGCGGCACCCAATGCAACGTTCGAACCGTAAGAATCTCGGAGTCGCAAGTTCTCGGCGCTTTCGTGCGATCCGCCGCCCGGGGGAGTTGGAACGTATGGGTTGTCGGATCCGGTAGTATTATAACCTCGTTCAGCAGGCATATTGCGTCCGTCTGTATCCCTAAAAGCGTCAATTCCACTCTGACGGTTATGGGAGTTGGCAACGCCAAGGGCGATACCACTGATACCACCGCCCACGGCGGCAGGGCCAAGATTGTCCATTCCTGGCGTCGTTGAGTTCGTACGCATCGCTTGCGTGTACCCCGAACCCTGACCCCAACCCCGATCGCCGTTCTCATGCGCCGACAGAAAGCCGCTGGAAGGTGAACTCCCCATCGCCTGGCTTCTGGCAGAAACCGGGGACACATCGTTATGCCGTGGAGGGCTGTTCATGAAATGACCTTCTTGAGAGCGGATTGGTGAAACATCCCCTGCGTCTCCCGCACCGTCATCACCTTGGTTGAAGCTGAATGACCGGTGGGGACCGGACATCGTTATGGATATAAAGTAGTAGCGGTGATTTTACGTCGCGGTTTAAAGGTTGCCTTCTTAAAGTTCAAACAGACTTCCCCGAAATCATAAGATCTGAAAAGGGACTCAATATTAAGGTGGTCGATGGGCGGATGAAGTGAAGTAGTGAAGTGAACAAGCAAGCAAGGAGTCGAATCAGGCGAGGACAGTGCAGACGCAGTAGTGGGTTGATTGATGGAGAAATAGAAGGCCTTGAAAGTGCCGGATCAGCGGGCAGGGACAGAGTCTCGAACCACGGTTCCCGACCCAGACGACTGTCTGGATCATCCAAGAATCGACACGGAACCTGTGTCAAATTGAGTGTACTGAACACTTTCAAAATCAGAGACAGGGGACATACTGTAAAAAAAAAAATGAAAAAATGAAATTTGACAATGTCAAATGTGACGGGATGTGAGGGGGGCACAGCCCATGCGCGGGAAGTATGTATGCAAGTATGTATGTAGATCGCACGACAGGACAATGGAGAGAAGGAGGAAGACAGAAAAGAAGAAGAAGGAGAAGAAGAAGGCCTGTTTCAATAACTGAACAAAAAGAGATGGAAGAAAATGAGCAAGTTGTCCACCAGATGTTTCCTTGGACAGACAAGACAAAAGAAGTGAGAGAGAGAACCACTGCATGCGGAAGATAGACGCAAAGTTGAGTGGCGGCTGGTGACCCTGACAACCAGAGAGTGAAATCGTTACCGTACCTGTACAGGGTCCAAGGGTCCAATCCCGTCCCGGAGGAGACCAAAAATACCTCCACTCTCACTTTACCTCGTCCGGACTAGTCCTTTCCTTGTCTGCTTCCCCATCTTTTTTGCGAGATCTGTCAATGTTCCATTCCAACTTGACCCAACCCTGAATGCGGCCTTTGTTCCAACACAACTTCTAGAATACTACTTACTATAAATATAGATTGGATAGATTTGTATACTATTTTCACACTTCCACACGGGCCCAATCTGTCAAGTATTCCCCTCTCCAGTCGACCGCTCCCGGACATGCACACGTAAGCTTTGCACGATATGTGCACATGCCTCGGGTTGTGTCTCAGAAGCCATGATCACTGATTGACCTTCCCTCTCGTGGTGCAGAGCTTATATGAATTCAATGGCCCTATTCAAGCTTGGACTGCATCCACGACCCTCGTGTTCACAATTCCTCGGAATCTTATTTTCTCTTATTCCGTCCTG